TGTCTTAAACGGCTCGAGGGTTATTAATACAGTACAGTTTAGTACTTAATACAGTACAAGTTAGTAACTTGCAGTCAGAGTTCAGGTAAATGATGTCTGAAGACATCAAATTCATTCTTAATTTACAGGTCAGTTTGGAAACCAATACAATTCCCCTCCCCTCCCCCCCCCCCAGTTAATACCTTGCTAGTATGTTTAAACCTACCCTCCCAAACAACAGTGCGGAGTCCTGCATGCATTTTGGGATCGTGGGGATGAAGGAGGCCATGGAAATAAACAACACAGTCCTAGGTAACATGTTTCCTTGTAAGTGACAATCCCGAGTGTTCTGCCTCAAGGGATTGGGCCTGGGATGTATCAGCTGGATTCAATGTTCAGTACGTCAAATTCGTCCCAGGTCAGTAGTGACTGGAAGTCGCCACCGCCGTCTGCTGGCTGCTCAGCAGCCTGTGTGAAGTGAAATCGGGTTCCAAAGAGCAGATGCCCACATCCCAAACACCGTGGCACGGCTGGAAGCCCCAAGGAGAGAAGGGGCCTGGGAGACTGGTCTCACACCAGGGGGTGCCTTTGGGTTAGGGATCGGTCCCTTTAGCAAGGGCAGGGGAGGGAAGAGGGGGCAGTGCTGGAACTGTCCCCGGGTGCCGAGGGATTCGGTCTTCTGGTCCGCCCCCTTCCAGCAGCCCTGGAGCCACCCACGCTGTGATGTCAGCGACAGAGAGTGACTCCCAGGTTGCTCTCGGATGTAGGTCGGTGACAATGTGGGGGTTGGCCCCCCCTTCAACATACCCCGACAAAGAGCAGTGGGAGTCCCGCGCAGAGATCAGGACGAACCGCTCCCCCACACCCATTCTGGCCCTTAGGACACTTGCTCTAACCAAACAGCTGCCAGGCCCCAAGGCCCTGTGCCAGAAGAGAATGCAGAATTTCCTCCCCTCGGGATTAGTGAGATCCCAAGTCACGCGCCACAAATTGGGCACAGACCCAACGATGACAGTGCAGCAAGGAGCTAAAGAGGGCCATGGGTGTGCAGTGCCATCCCCAGGGAACACCAGGCCAGGTCCCTTACAGCTGTCCCAGGTGAACGCTGGAGGTGCCTTTTGGAGGAGGAAGATAGCGTTGGGTGGGTTTCATTGCCCTGGCCAACAATTCCCCTCTTCTCCCTGGGTCCCAGTGACCCAGGGCTCCCCCTGAGCTCAGAAGGGCGGTGGGGTTTACGTGCACTGTGGAGGAGCTGTACCCCAGTGACAAGTGAGGTGCCACGGAAGACTCCTGGAGTATGAGAAGCCTGCTTCTCTTCATTTTTCAGCAACAGTGCAGCCCCAAGAGGCTGAACCAGCCCCTCTCTGCAGGCATGGGGTGGGGTGGGGGGGTGAGAGACAAAGAGGGGGCAAGGAGCCAAAACGTCAATGCTGCAAATGAAGCGACAGGCAGCAGGGACTGAAAAATGAAGAGAAACAGGTTTCTCATGCTCCATGCATGTTCAATGGCACCTTCCACATCACTGGGGTACGTGCACCGGGCCAGTCCCCTTTACCTCTCCCCATGGCCGGGGGAAGACACACCTGGAGCCGATCTCTCTGCCAACGTTCTCACAAGAGGAGCAGAAGACATTGCCCAATGCATCGGTATGGAGGATTTGCTCGGGAACTTCATTGTTCTGGTGCCCTTGACCTGTCATGCAAAGAATACAAGAGACTTTGTGAACAGCCCTCATGGTGCTTCTGAGAATCCTGACTGTGCCCAGAGCCCTTGGGGAAGACAGGCTGCAGGGGTTGGCAGCAACACCTGCTCCCCAAGACACTCCAAAGGGACAGGATTGGAGCATTTTGCCATTAATAGAGGTTGAGGTTGGGGAAGAGCCATAGCCTGTGCAGCCAGAGGGAAAGATCCCCGGGGACCCCTGTTAAGTAGCCCCCTCTCTGGGGTTTCAGGTTTGGTTTGTACAGTCTAAAGAACACCAGTAAACTAACCCCTAGCACAGCCTCTGGTCACATTCCCTGCATGGGCCGTAAATGCTTCAATAGCAAACACAGTCCATGAGCTTCTCGGCAGCAGGTCCTCCACCCCTTCCACCAATTCTTTAGGCGGTTCTGACCTTCACTGAGCTCAGTTGCACTTAATGACATCCCAGCTGGGCAGCATCACCCTGGCCTGACTCCGAGAAGTCCTGCAGGGATTTTACTCCCCCAAACACATGCCACTGTGCTTCCTGACCCCGTGTGTGTGCCCATGAGCCCGGGGAAGAATCTCTGCAAAGACCTGTACTCCCTCTCCAATCCCAGCTGTGCCTGGCCTTTTGAACCCTGACAGTGACAAAGGTTGAGCTTTCCTAAGGGGCTGAAGGGAGTTTGCCTTCAGCTGAAATTCACCAGGGGGTGAGTGCCTAACTCCTTTATGCTCCTTTGAAACCCCCTTGCCAGAGCCATTTCCCGCAGTGGCCGGAGGAAATGATTCCCCCACTGCTGATTGCAGTGCATGGAGGAGCTGCATTCCCCTAAGACGGCCTGATCTGGTTCCCACTGACACCAATGGTAGTTTGGCCTTGGACTCCAATGGGAGCAGAGGGGATTCAGTGCCAGCGAGTGCTCAGATTGGATGACTATGCACAGCCGGAAGTTGCTGCAGTTTATGGATTCAGGTCACACCTCACAAGCCAGGCAGAATGACAAGCTACATGCCGCAGAGCCATCTCCTCACCTCACTGCATCCAGGGCTGGAAAGCAAGATCTGCTTCTCAGCACACAGTGCCACACGCTGGCCAAGAGCCGAGCCACAGGCTCCAAGTTTTCCTCCCACATTAAACAGCAGAGCCTGGTGGGAGCCTGGCCGAGGGAGCAGGAAAGCAGGGGCCCTGACAATGGAGAACAAACAGAGACAGCGAGAAGAAAGAAACCCTCCCAAGGAGGTTAGGACACATGGTTACCCCAAAGAATGAAGCTAGCAATGGTTCAGACTAAACAAACGCATCCTGATGCCCACATTTTTGTAAAGTGCTCCATACTTTGCCAGAGAGGTGCAGTTGTCAGCCCCAGGGTTTGTTACTGTGGGGGTTCCCGTGGCTCCCGCACAGGGATCTGGAGTATGAGGACAGTGACTTTGATTGGGAAGGGTGCATCAGTCCCCCCCACCCCATTGGCATGGCCCCTTCAAGCTGCTTGTATCAATGCCAAACTCACCTGACAATGTTACCAAATAGCAGCCACCGGTACCCGCTGAAGGACAAGAGCGCTTGGAACTAGACTTTCAAAAAGGGCTCAGCTCCAGAGTGACCAGTTAGCAAGTGTGAAAAATCAGGACAGGAGGGGTGTGTGTGTGCGCGTGGGGGTAATAGGCACCTATATAAGAAAAAGCCCCAAATATCAGGACTGTCCCTATAAAATTGGATCATCTGGTCACCCTACTCAGCTCCCATTTAGGCTCCTATGTAAGTGGCCAGATTGTCTAAGAAGCTCGGCGCACTGGGTGCTGAGCTCTTCAGACACTGGGCGCTGCTGGGGACTGAGTGCCTTTGAGAATCTGACCCCAGTGGTGGTTGCTGAGCCCTTGAAAATCCAATGCAAAATGGCAGCTAAACTAGCAGAGGTTTCCCTTTGGAATGTCTGCAGCACAAAGGCCTGAGCCTGCAAGACGCTGCATGCTCTTCAACCCGCAAAGGGCCCTCAGTGCCTCACAGGGGCAGGTCCTAAGCAGCAGCCCAATGGTTTCAGTGTGCCAAACACAAAATAGGAGCCAAACTTGGAGCTTCAGTTCCAGTGGCTAACGTCCAGCCACAAATGGATTTTCGGTGCTGAGATAACTTCCCACCATCCACACCTAAAAACACAGGTACTGGAGGGGGAACCAGACAGGAAACACTGACACAACTTGTAAATTCAAGCTGTAGATGATCTGAGACTAAATCCTTCAAGTGGAGTTGGAAGACCACAGTATCCCCAACACCACCGCCACAATGAGGGAGATGCAGTAATTTACCAGCCTCGTCCCTTAATATCCTTCTCAATAACAAAGGAGTGAGTGAGAAATTAGAGTCACTAATCCCCCAATAAAGACAGAATTCTAAAAGCTGGACATTGTGTTCCCTTTGTACGTCTGTGCACAGAGGGATGGATGGGCACTGAATGGAAACAGAAACTTAAGACCTTCCCTATGACGTATTCCATCATTTACTTTTTAAACAACAGGGTATTTTATTTCAGCAACAAAACATGTCCTGTATCCAGGAGTTCCTCAGTTCTAATCCCAGCTTTGCCACCAACTCCTGGAATAGATTTGCACCAATCTATGTCTCAGTTGCTCTAACCCTTAAATGGGGATAACAACATGGACCAGTCCCTGGGTTGTCATGAGGATCAATCCTTGCAAAGCATTTCCTGAGGATGTGGCGTGCCATTAGGCTTTAAGTCCAAAGATGTGGTTGCAATTCGCAGAACCTTCTGGGATCCCACTGAGAAAGAAGGGAAGGCTGGGGATCCACAACATTGTGGTCTCCCCTTCTAGATTACCCATTTTCTGCTACCTGATGTATTTCAAAGGCAAAAAGCTGGCTCTTTGGGAGCATATGAATGGGCATGGACAAGTGTTTCCAGGGCAGGGCGGGTTCTGCAACATCTGGAGGAAGGGTGGGGATGGGTTCCACCATAGATGGCAGAGTTCTACTATCTCCTTGGACACAGCATCAAGCCAGAAGCCGTTCACCAGCTGGGGACAGGAAGAAGTTGGCAACCAGTGCAAGGGATGTTTTGCCTTCCTTGGAAGCATCAGCTAGTGACCATTGCTAACCAGTCATTCGTCAGGCTGGAGTCATTGCTGGGTAAGGGAGGGTGGATCTGGTGGGACCAATGGGCCTGGCTCAATAATAGAGCAGAGTAATGCATACCAAACAAACAGATACATTTTTCTGATTGTGAGCCGGTTCCCATTCAGTTTAAATGATCTCAGACCATGGGCTCCCTCCCTCTGGCGCTGCCTGGTTCCAAATCCATGACACCTGTGAAACAAGGAGATGAATTCAAACAGTTTTTTTCAAGTATATGTACCAAAGGAAGTTTCCCTAGTGGTTAAAGCAGCAGGACTGGGAGTCGGGACTCCTGAATTTACAACCGTCATTGACATGGGGTGGGACCTCGGGCAAGCGAGTTCGCTTCGTTCTGCCTTCATTCCCCCATCTGGGTAAGGCAGCCGGCTGTTCCTTTCAAGTTCTTGCATCATGCCCAGCACCCTGGCATTAGATCACTGGCATTTTAACATGCTCCCCACCTCCTGCTAGAGCAGGTTAAAAGGTGTAATTCAGCAGAGTTTGTAAATGGCCTCCAGCTCCTTGAAGGTAAAGTGCTGCAGGTAAACTGATCACTGTCATTACGCTTATTACGAAAGTGCTGCCCAGCCGGCAGTCTTTCCAACTCCCACCTTGAGCAAACAGGTCGCGTTTCCCCTCGGCATGCCAAGCGAGCCCTGGGAGATGCAGATGACGGGATTTCTCATAAAGGCTTGCCCACAATTGATTTCTCACTGTGGCATGCCAAGCTCCTTTGATATTTATTTAACGATTGAATAATGGCCAACACTTTAAAAAGCCTCAGAGAATGGGATAGAGAGTCACTTATCAGGCTGGAGTCATTAACGGGGGGAGAGGAGGTGTTTGGCTCAAGTATTCCACATCTCTAGTTGTTCAAGGGTTCTTCTCAACACCCCATCCCAGTTGTTCTTGGAGCTGCCATTTGTTCAGAGGTACTTTCTCTGCCAAGCCTCTCACTGCAGGGTTTCTGAGGCCTGGTGGGGGTGGGGTAGTCAGTCTTTTGCTTAACCCTCTTGCATATGGAGTGGTGGCCAGAACTCAATGGGACTGGTTGCCTATTGTAGTTAGGTTGACTTTAGCGCACTGACACAGCCTGCACAGAGAGCCAGACCCTCCTCTCCCCACCAAACCTTTTTTTAGGGACAACTTCTCTCAGATGTGTTGCCTGAGAACAATCTAACTGCACCAGTTCCATTCTTCCTTTCTGCCTTGCCATCCTGCTCTCCACTAGCACAGACCCCCTAATTCCTCTGCCTCCTCTTCTCCCTCTTCCCCCTTCCCACAGCTGCTCTCCCAGTTCTCTGTCCCGCTTCTTTCTTTACTCTGTTTCCCTCTCTCCTCCTTTTCCTCAATGGTAAAATGCACTTGGGTGGCTCACGCCACCTGCCCTCAGACCTGGCTTCTGGAGCTGATTCATGGCAGGATCAGCTAGATAGTAGTCCGGGTACAAAAGTCAACAGAGGGCCTTTTAAGTACTGCTTATAGCACTGGCTTTAACCTTAAAAAGCCTAGCCAGCCATGCCAGATGACCACCAAGTGAGGAGCACTAAATGATTGGAGACGCTTGACGACAAGGCACAAGACCAGACTTGATCCAAGTACTGCAACGTCCATCTCTCAGTAGCACTGTGGACACCCACTTGCATGTTGGAATCTCAGCGGCAATTAACAGGAGACCCTCCCAGCCTGTTGGCAGCAGCTGAATCTGCCTCAAAGTGCTGAGCTGGGCTGCGCTATGTTAGTGCGTTTTGGTTGGGACCCACACTGCAGTAGTTGCAGGGTCCCACAGCGGCTGTTTTCATGTATGCTTACGTATTGTGGTGGTGGTTGATCATTTGATGCCCTATTGCACAGCACTGAATTGGCTGGATTGCTGGAAGGCACTCCTGCCAGAATTTTTTTTTCTTTAATCCAGTAAAACCAACAAAACATGAAAATAATTGTGGTCACACCCAGGAATTAGTGGTATAAGCTTGAATTTCCCCCACGCTACTCCTCTGAAAGCTAGAAACAAATAATAGCTCTCAGTCAACAGCCCGTCAACTGAAAGAGCATATTCATGGAAACCAACTCTGAAGCATAGCTTCAAAAGAGTTAATACCAAAAGCTTCTGCTCAAACACCCAAATTCATCTTGACCGGCACACAGCTCACACACACAGCATCAGCATGGCTTGGAGCTGTAACATGAAGGTTCACCTGGGAGGAATATTTCTCTCATTCTTTGGGTGGGTCTCATCCTGTGTTGCGACTTTTGTGCCACTCTGGAAGAATCGCAACCTGGACTTGAATGAAATGGAGATCTGGACCATGGGGCTTTGGCAAGTCTGTGTAACGCAAGAGGAAGGTATTATGGAATGTAAAAGCTATGAGTCTTTCTTGGCTCTGCCATTGGACCTCCGGGTGTCCAGAATTTTGATGTTCCTCTCTAATGGATTGGGACTTCTTGGATTCTTGATCTCCAGTTGTGGGCTGGACTGTTGCAAGGCCTGGGAAGCAAAAACAGCTCTAAAGAAACAACTGGCGCTTTGCGGAGGAGTGATTTTTGGCATCTCAGGAATTACGACCCTCATTCCAGTTTCCTGGGTCGCCTATAACACCGTAAATGAATTCTGGGATGAAACAGTCCCAGAAATTGTACCTAGATGGGAATTCGGGGAAGCAATGTTCCTGGGCTGGTTTGCTGGATTTTTCCTTGTAGTAGGCGGGCTGCTCATCGTCTGCTCAGCCTGTTTGAAAGGGACAGAAACGCCAACAATGCCTTTAGCAGCTTACCGCGGACCAACACAGGTGCAAGCTCCATTAGCAATGCAACACTGCGGCCAACATTCACACCCCAAAAACGCTGACCTGGTAATCTAAGACTTCCAGCACAGAGTTCTGTACTGCTCCCTAGCTTTTCAGGTTTTGAGACAGTTCCCATAATGATTTACAGGATGCTTAGCTCCTTTTTTGTCCATAAGAAATTATTGAGTCTTGCTATTTGTTTTGTCTTTCTGTGTGTTTGTAAGTTTTAAAGAGCAACAGCTTTTTCTGAGACACCTGCAAACTGAACCTAGCACTATAAAATCAACGAGGTGAACACAGAAAACTAAACAGCACTTCATATTTCTAGCAATGCAGCATGTTATTGATTATACTATTTGAGCATCTTTGGAAATTTCTGATAGGAAAGTAACATCTGTACACAATTCTGAAGGTTATCGCTCCTTAACTGTCCACTGTAGGGAGACAAGGTGGGTGAGGAAATATCTATCTGTCTATACACAGGGATGAATTCCACCACATCAATTATTCAATTTGATGGCAACACGTTTCTGTGCTCTCAAAAAGTAACTGCATCTTCAACAGCATAAGAGGAGAAGATGGGGATGCAGGATTTTATCTATGAAAAGCAACACTGTACTATTTTTGTTCATCTAGCGAAATTTTCTGATAGAAAGCCAGTTTATACAAAAAAATGCATTTTCTACATCTATGAAAGGTGCAAAATCAGTGGCAGTATCTCACCCATATATCTACTAGTCAGTGAAATCATAAAAATATCAGGCCCACAGTTAGAATGCTATCCAATTTAATTCTTTTTTAGATCACTTGTGTATAACAATTAGAATGTAACTGTTCCTCTAAGGATCTCCTAAATTTTAACTTGGCTACCCAAAAAAAAAAAAAGAAAAAAAAAAAAAAAGCTTGTATGCACTTACTATTACTACTAATAGAGTTACACATAAGAAACCTGTTAAATATTCATTTTAGCCTGATCAGGAGTAAATCTGATGCTACAGTACTATTTAACAACTCTGTTCGGTTATTTTTAAAACCTTTGCTTACAATGTCTGTGACAATGAGATTGAAGCAAGGAAGCCCCCATCCAAAACCAGAATTCTTTTGAGCATCAAAGAAGTTCACTTTTGGTTTAAAAAGTTTGGTTTTGCAATTTGCTCTTCGTTCCAGCAGGGATACCAATATGCAGAGAGCAAGGTTATGGGCAGAGATTTTCCTAGCTTGGCTGAACCCAGGACATTTTAGAAACTTAGCAGACAGGCCAAAAAATGACCTTTAGGGAGCCCGAGCTCCCTCGGCCTTTCAAATCTCCCAATCACTACTTGAAATGATGCACATATTTCTTTCATGAATGGGAACTTTGCTTGCATGTCTCACTCAGGATGTGGTCTCACAGCCTGATCCAAGTCAACAGAAGGTCTCCTCATTTACTCAGATAGGTTTGGATCAGGTCTCAAGTGTGTACAGATTAGAACCTTAAAACTCACGTTAAACAGAACTGAAAGGAACCCACCGAAAATTCGGAACAACATTCTCCTTCAGCCAACTCTGCTGCTCCCCATTGTCCGTTAAATTCGCATGAAAAAATGATTGGTGCTGCTGCTGCTGACTTCGCCTCCCCCTTTCCCTCCTGTTCCCCCACACCAAGTCAAAATCCTGTATTTGTGGCAACACCGCTGGCTGGTGTGGAAATTAGTCGATGACAGACAGTTTAGGAACTGTACAGAGCAGCAGCCAAGAGTCCTCTTTCTGTAACAAGGATCAAGAGATGCAAAACGCAGGGGCCAGGAGGGCAACATTCTTGGCTGGTGGAATGTGCTTTTCAAAGATTTATACAAACTGTTCGCTGCTTTCCAGAGGCCTGACAAACCGCCAAAGGCAAAAGAGACTCTCAGGTGTTGGCTGTTACTGTCATCCGCACCCTTGAGAAATCAACATAGGGAGTGAGGGGGGAGAGAAGAGAATTGTGGTGACAGCCCAGATTTTTTAGCTTCAGTGGGCTCCCTTTATGTGTTTGTTATGTGTTTAAGGCCTGATCCAGTGTCAATGGAAGGATTTCCGTGTGATTCACTGGGCACTGGATTGGGCTCTTCAAGCAGATTAGGTTACAGTAAACAAGTTCTTTAATTTCCTAATATTTGTTCTTTGCAGTGTGTGGGGTGGAGGTCTGTTGTTCTTTTATTTTCGGTAGTAGTTTAATGGGACAGGGAAATATACCCATGACTGTACGAACAGCAGCACTCTGTGCATATTAGGACTGGGGGGGGGGGTACGACTGGTATGGTTCTTACACAGAGAGGTCTTTAAAATTACACACCTTCTACTAAACTCTCAACATAGCACAGTGGATATGAGGGAGTCTAGAAGGGTGGTGAACAGCAAATATTGTTACCAGGGTCATGGAGTAAAGACTTGATGAGAAATTACCTATATGGCAAAAGAGATAGGCACTTTGGGGACAGGGAAGACAAAGAGTTAAGGATGTCTCAGAACCCCATGCCCCTTCCCCAACAAGCCAAACTTGAAACTACCAAAAACGGAGGTCTCCTGAATGTTTTAGTACTAGATGATAACAGAGAGTAGCCAAGAAACAAGAGAATCACCACCATCCCACCTTGCAAAAGCAAGCCATTTAAGACAATATGAAACACAAATAAGGCCATAAAGTTGAAATATCAAAGGCCCTTGGCTCCACATCACCCCTTAAAAAGGTAACGGCATGTGACTATCTCTGTACAGTGGTAGGGTGGTTTCTTTAAGAGTGTTTTCAGTTTTGATTCTATGTTAACTGGGGAAAAAGAGGGTGAACCCCAACTCCAAAGTTAAATAACCAGGTGAGGGTGAAACAGGCAAAGTGAGTCATCCTGTCATTGACAACTAATCCTCACCTGTCTGCATTCAAACAGAACTCCACTAATTATTACTATTTTGCACTCTTAACCCAGCCCTATAAATGTCTATCTTCAATTTTCCCATCGAGTCCCCCATCTGGGAAGTATTTTATTTTATTTTTACAGCTGTGTTTTGAACTGTTGGAATAAATCTGTGCTTTGCTAGGGAAATGCTAACAGAAGCTTAACTATAAAAAGGGTAATGGTTCTGCTATAATGCAGATTTATGTGAGCCACTGAATATGAAACTCAAACATCTCAGTCCCAAATGAACAAACTGTTTGGCTGCAGAAGCTTACAGTGCTTCTCCCTCCTCTTTGCTAATTTAATCCAACTGAATTACTCACTGTGGTGTGTTAGAAATGGCTGTTTCCTGAAGGCATTGTGCATAGAGAGAGCCTCCTGCAGAATGACTTGAAATAGAAAGGGGTTCAAAGTGGGGCTCTCTAAAGGAATTTCTCTTGGGTGGCCTGTACTAACAAGGAGACTTCAAAAGAAACCAGTTAGCATCAATAAGCAACCTGTGTGCCAAAGTCTCTGAATTATGTACAGTGGAGGACAGGCGGGTGAAAGAGCCTTAGGTGACGCAGTATTCAAGGTGGGTGAACTTCACCCAGAAGTAAGATACAAAAAACTTCTCTACTAATGGCTCCATTTGTCTAGACCTCAATTCTTGCCAGATGGGCTGATGTAGGTCAGGACAAAGAGTACAACCACCAGGAAGGACTCAAGAAATCTGTCTCCTATTGAAAAGCTAATCCAGAGCAAAAGGGAATGTGCAACTACACTTAGACTATTTATCTTGAAGTAAAAAAAAAAACCTGGACACAAAACAAGTCAGGGGAAAAACTCAAAGCTACAGTTCAAAGCTACTCAAAAACTACAGCTAGCTCCACCCTTATTTAACTTACATTTAAGAGAACACAAGATTCTCTGATCCACTAAAGATTCAGCTACACTGTAACTTATCTTTTTTAACACATTAAACAAGATTGAAAACTGTAGTGCAGACAAACAACAAATGTTTATGCTAGTTGTTTTTAAACTCTAGGTTCGTTGCTAGCTATTTTTAACCCTAGGATAGAATATGACTTGTATCATATTTTTTTTCTTTACCTACACTACAATTTACAGCATGTTAATATGCGATTACAAACTACAGTGTTGCCAACTCTTTAATGATCGATTTGTTAAATGTCGATCAATGATGGGTTGAAACAACAGTACCACCTTTGGCTAACAATAGAAACTGTACATACACACACACACACACCTCTCTGCCACTAGGTGTCATTCTTTTTTCATCAAGGAACTAGCACAGGTTTGGTAGGTCAGCCTCAAAGCTTTCTTGAAGTTCCGATCTTTGTAATTTAAGAAAGTTTAAAATGATCTTGTGGGCCAATGTTCGCATTTCTTCTGTTCATTCCAAGACACAGAAGTGTTTTAAAACTTGACAGCAAAGGAAAATAAAACAGAGAGGGAGCTATTTCACTCTAAAATAAAACAAATGTTTTTATTGCACATTTATAAAACCTGCAGTCCTATCAAATAGGAATTCTCTTCCCCATTTATTCAGAACATTTTGGTTTAAACAATTTTGTCTATTCAAATAAAACACAGACTGCCCTTAAAAAGTGTCCAACTGTGGTTCTCCCCCTCACTCCCCAGTACATTTTTACAAAAAAATACAAATATACACGCTTTTACTCTAACCTTAAGTGTCCAATGCTCAATTTTCTCATCAATAACCTTAGTGGAGGAGGAAATATTTTCAGATCCGAGAAGGGAATTCCCTTTAGGGATTTTGTTTTCTTTAACCAGTTACTGATCATTAGCACAGTGATATTGTATACAAGTCAATCTTTAAAATTAGGTTCCATCATAGGACGCTGTCATTATTTGCTTTTGTCTGTCTCACAAGAAGAGCCCTGCATATTTGTTTGGCAGTTAAAAAGACAAGAGACAACTTAACTTCCTGTTTGACTTCACTCAGCTAATATATGCAGCTGCACGCATGACTACCTGCCTGTCTTACACACAGCGTTCCATCAATCCTCGCTGTCTCTCAGTCTCCCGACTCAGACTCCTGCCAGCAGTACTTTGCCAAGATCTGGATTTATAAGCTCTTTCAGCTAAGAATTTAGAAAGGTGTGGATTTGTTTGCTGGAACCAAGGTAATAAGTGTCACTGATTTGTCAATAAACCATTCTCTTGTGCAGCTGTTGTCACTGTCCCAAGTATCTGAGGGACATTTTTTGAAAGTGGCAAGAAATGGAGAGACAATGCATTTTTTGTTGTTGTGGAGATGAGAAACAGCTGTTACTGCCAGCCATATATTGTGCTAGTGGTTCCTGCCCTTCGCATTGTCATTGACAATTGTATCTTAAAAGTTCAATACCATTTTTCATTCCTTTGTATCGACACCAAGAGCATGGTTTACATCTGGATATGAATCGTCTTTATCTACCTATTCTCCTCCCTCTCCCATTCAAATGCTGTCCGACAGCAGGATACTACACCGATAGATGGGTTCCTATGTACCGCATCTAGGGCTGGAAAGTTGGAAGTTTATTTGACAGCCACAGGTGCGGCCCCATGAATGGACTCCATCACGGCTGCGAAGCGGCTGCAGAGGTCATAGGGGGAGTTGGGCCGGATCTTCGGGGGTTCTTTTAGAATGATGACCTCTGCAGAGCAGTCCAGGAGCCTGGGGAGCAGTTCGCCCAGCTTCATTTGCAGGTTGGCTGTGGAGGAGGATGAAAGAGTCAAATGCACTGGAACAGGCAGTTACAAAAAAAGGCCAATCGCAGCAGGTTTTAGCGTTGTAAGGAAAAACAGTTGCTTGCTTTTTAGACAATTATCTACCATAGCCAAAAAACTGCTCACCTCGAGCATACAGAGATGAGTATTGTTTTAAGGAGAAGAGATCGTGTCATCCTAGACCAGACCTCTGGTCTATTTAAATCCTGTATCTTGTCTCTACCAGTAACCAATATTGTATGGTTGATGGGGGAGGGGGTGGAGGGTGGTGACACACCAAACTCCTCCCCTCCCTCCCCCTGACCTCCCCACACACACGTACACTATATCACAACCTAGCTGCTTGGCAAACCAGTGATGTGAAGTTAGTAGGAATACAATTGGAGTGTGTTACCAGTGCCAGGCTTTCCTCAATCCAGGCCACTTTACATGGTCGTCCCAAACCTAATTCTCTAACCTTGCAATCTCAGATTTATGCACTATATCTAGTATAGGCCAGGCATTATTCAGTCCTTCATGAATGACTCCCCTCCCAGTGCTGACCCAGCAAACTCCAACAACAGACAACGAGTCAAATTTGTAACCATCCGACAATGCAAAACCAAAAGCAGACACCCTCTTCCCTGAGAGTGATGGGAATGTAGCCCCAACAGAAGAACAAGCAGAACAGGGCACAGTCCTCTAATTGATGATGTACTGCAAAAATTAACCGGAACTGCCAATTACTGTACAAAAAATTCTGACCTCACTGTCCAGTCAATGGGGGAATGGAAACATTTCTCCTGTGGGAGGACTCTTCCTGTCACATCAGGTGTTAGCAGAAACTCCATGCCTATTTCAGCACTTGGCAGGCCAGCTCTCTAGTCGGTAATTAATTTGAGGAGTTCAAGACTTTCCAGATGAATGTGCTTAAAATCATTACCACAACACCCTTTTCTTCTTCTGACAGATTAAAAATCAACTGACTTAACCTAATCTACAAGCAATTTTACATGCAACATGAACCTGCTGGGGACAACAGACTTGGCCCATGCAACACAAAGAGAGATGGAAACGGCTGAGTTCTGCTCCTTTCAAATCTCAAGTTTCACTGTTTGGGATTCCATTACATGGAGGAGTTTATAAGAAAGCCAAATTTGGGGAAGTCAAACTGTTAGCAAATTTCTCCAGCTTTCTACTTTGCAGCAGCATTTTGAGAACAATCCTCCATATTTCTACCTCACTTTCCTGTAGCAAGTTTACCCTCTGCTGGTTAAAATGAGCAGTGTTAAGAGTCTCAACTCTGTTCTCTTACCCAGCCTGAGAGGAGTCATGGCAGTTTAACTTCAGCACATGAAAGGAAATGCAGAACAAACGCAGTTATCCCAAACTGAAATTCAGACCCAGAATGACCAGCATCTCCTCACTACACTCTGGATCTAATGGGCAATTCGTTGCAAAGCCTCTTCAAAGCTTGACACAGCTTCCCCCATCCCTTCCTCAAACCTGTTGGATACTGTACATGCATTTGTAGTTATGAAGCTGTACACAGCTAGAAAAAGTTCCTGTCAGTGTGTCTCATTTCTAGCATGAAGTCAGACTGCATCACATACCAACTACATGATTAGAAGCACAAATGCACCCAGTCAGTTTAGAACCTTTTCTCTCTCATCTTACAGGTGAGCATTCATATACAAAGCAACAAAATCTGCTAATGTTAGTGTATCAGTGAAATCACACTGGCTGAAATGCAGGTTAAAGTGCTGATCACAAAGGACAGATGAGACCAAGGTACCTATTTCACATATTTTAAAATCATTCACTTCTTATATTTCAATGGCCAGGGATCTATTTTCTGTAGCTGTAGGACAAACAACAATCAAATTGTCCCATTAACACATTTCACTCTAAATATGAGCACGTTTTCGGGCATAAGTCCAGTCACAAATGCCTAGATACGCTACATATATAGGGCAAATCCTAAGAATGCTAGGAAGGATTTTAAATAGGCAATAAAGCCCTTTTCTAGTTTAGACCTATGGAACATCCTGACCACTCAGAACATAGGATTTTAAGGGAAGCAAGCAAGTCAGCAATTCCCTACCATCCATGTCTTCTTGTCCCAGATAAGAGCACCAGCGGTTCCTCATGACCTCAATGGCATCCAGGTCATCCTTGGAGATGTCGTTATTGATAATGAGGTGCATACAGGGGATGATCAGCTCATTCAGGATGTTAATACCCTCCAACACATCCGCCTCCGTATTGCTTACAAACAAAGCCGCTGCCATTTCATTCAGCTTCTGTGGGAGAATCAGGGGTCACAGACATTTGAAAAAGCCCTGACTTCAAAGCATGAACAGGCTCCTAGGAAAGGTGCACACGACCCACGCCTCTTCTACCTGATGGGTATGTATGGAACGCACACAGATTAATGAGAGCTGCATGTGTGCACCAAGAGAACATAACCCTTAGAACAGTGGTCCCCACATTTTTGTGGTCACCCCCCGACTTGAGCCGCAGCTGGAAGAGGGGCCGGGGCCATGGTTGGGAGTGGAGCCGCAGCCGAGATCAAGGGCACAGCTAGGGCCACGGAGCCACAGAAATAGCTGGGGGTGGGGCTGGGTGGCGCTCCCTCCCCACTCCTTGTGGGACTGGCCCAGACCCCGCCACACCCTCCCTTCTCCCGAATGTGGGCACACCCTACAGTTTGGGGACCACCGCTTTAGAAGGATTAGATCAGAGAGAACATATTGCTCCAGAATTAGCTCTAAAGTATACAAATAATTTTGGCTTTGAGAGGCTACGATTCAGATCCAGAAACACCAAATGGATTTCCTGAAATCCAAACTCTATCACTTCAGTGAATTTTGCTTCCTAGATTTTCATATTAGTGCTGGCACTTGGGAAGGGGTAGATGCCATAATAATAGGTGCCTTAGATATAATTATGCTGGCCTCAGCAGCCAAAATAAAGCAGGAACTAAAAATAAGTCTCAGTCTGCTGTTGCTTATTCCTTCCCAAGGAAAGCCACATCACCTAGTGCCCAGCAAAACACTTTGACTGGTTACAAAGGAGGAGGTGATGCTGGCTCCCCACAGGGAGGGAAGAGTAGATATTGCTCTTTGTGAAAAGCAAATGGCTGGCATCCACCCCCTCTCTGAAAAACTGTTTTAATGACAAGCTCTACTACAAGGAGGTGCATGATACATTTGTCTCTTTGGGCAACCTGGAGTGAAGAGAGAATGTTCAGATGTGAACTGAAATCACTGAACTAGAAGGATTGAGTATTTAAGGCTAACCAGTCTACCACTGAGATTGTTCACTTTCAATTTAAGACTCAAAAGATACAAACCAAGAGGCATTTTCTTCTGTACAAAGCGATCAGTGATTCATCCACCCCTCTGTTGGGTCCTTTCATCAGCAGGGTGGTGTTACTTTGGTAGGCATACACCAGGTAGGTCAGTGCTTCCTGGTATCTTGGAGGAGGAGAAGGGTGGTAGTAGTCCAACACACCAGTTGTCACACATTCCAAAAGCTGCAGTTTAGCTGTCCACCCAGGCCAGATTCCCCACTTCCTCCCCAACAGAGACAAACACTTCACCTTCATTAACAGTGTTATTTTCTCCCTTCTCTCTTTTTCATTCATCAAACCTTTCAAGCACAGCCCCCATACTAGGCAGGTTTGCATTCCGTATGCCTCAGGGACACTTTGGCACTCTGGTTTCAACCGCAACATTTAGACTGTGGTCTAGATTTCCCCTGGTTTCAATGGGAACTTGGAGATGAAAGGCACTATTAGATGTTTGGAGAACAGTATTTTTTTTTCGAGACTCCAGGGTTATATTTAGAGCTGGTCGAAAAAAATCTGATGAAACATGTTTTCATTAGAACTTGCCAGTTCATCTAATTCTAAACGTTTTGTGAGACTGTTCAATTTCAACCAAGCTCCGATGGAGAACTCTCTGACCTGCCTGATTTCCTGCCAGCTTACCCACCTGCTGGACTGCCTCGGAGTCGGGGACCCCAGGGTTTTCATGACTCCAGCAGCCGGCCAATCAAGCTCTCCCAGAGCTAGAGCTTGGGATAGCTCCGTGGTTTGAGCATTGGCCTGCTACACCCAGGGTTGTGAGTTCAATCCTTGAGGGGGCCATTTAGGGATCTGGGGCAAAAAAAAAATTGGGGACTGGTCCTGCTTTGAGCAGGGGGCTGGACTAGATGACCTCCTGAGGTCCCTTCCAACCCTGATATTCTATGAATTCCAAAACTTTGAGTTTACATTCCAAATTGGTACAAACCAAATTCTGAAATACCAAAATCCTCCGTGAAAGGGAATTATCTTTCTCCATTCAGATGTCTATATGGTATACTGGTTGCAGTATGGGGGGAAAAAAGCCCAGCTTTTCAGGTCAAAGTTCCAGGGACCTCTGTCTCTACACAGGAATCAAATTGTAATGAGAGTTTCATTTTCACCCAGCTTTCCCAAGAGCCAAGCAGTAATGGCAGTTAGTGCACTAAGTCCTCTCCAAGGACCAGAATGTAAAGTTCTGCTCATGGAAAACAAGCTGGGAACCGTGTAAGAGGCCATATCACAAAACCACCTATTAACTCAGCACAATAGTTACACTCTGGCTCAAGGTCAGCTCTGAGCCTGTACAGCAAGGAGTATCAGCAGGTCAGGAATAAAGTACCTTGGGAAAAGCACAAGGGGCCCCAAATGGCGATACTTAGGGGTGCTGCATGTGCAAGGGTACTAGCAGAGAAGCAGGCACTTTTAGGTATAAGTTACCCCATAGCTTCATCCAAAATATAATTAAATTAAACCTACTTCCTATTCTGGTAGAGTTCCAACCCTGTCAGCAGGTAAACAGACACCTTGCGAAATAAACTGTAGTCTTCATGCCATTTCTGTTTAGGGTAACAGGAAATATTACAGGTTAGTCAATAACATGCTTTCATGTACCTGTGTGTCTGGGACAAGTCCCCCAACCCCAGCAAAACCTGGTATGTTAGCTCATTTAGCCTCTGGCACGGAGTGCTCTTACAGGGACATGAATTCACTCAAGCTCAGGGCAAGTTCCCAACATCCCCTTTGCCTCCCCAAACAGCTCAAGAACACATTCACCAAGACAAATGAGTCTCTGGCAGTGTTTAACTCCACACTGAGAGCACCAAATGAGTCCTCTAGAACAAGTGTGAAAACACAAACAGCTGATGCTCTGTTGGGGGGTGCGGCGGAAGAGGTTAGCCTCATGGCTCCCATTCTGATTATATAGACTGACTGTTCCAGGAGCAAGTTAAAGATCCCACTGTACCTTTCAAAAAGGATAGGGCTCAACTGAAACCCCTGTGTCCTGGTCAGCACTCCTTGGGAAACAGCTCCTAATGCTTCTGACTATATAACTGTTACCAACGGGTATGGAATAGTTGCTGTGTTTGTTTGCACAGTCAGTGTGCTGCCATTATCTTGCTCACTGCTTTGGGACACCTCCAGCACTAAGGCATTAGAGAAAAGGATAAGGAAAAAGTTCTAGTCCCTTACCTTATACTCCTCCATATTCACATCATCAGGGCCAATCTCCTTCAGCTTAGCTCGTGCTACCTGCATAATGCTAATTGACCTGCTCAGTGCAACAGACAGAGACATTAGAGAATGGCGAAGCTACGGAATCCCAAATAAGAAAGTCATGATATTGGATCCCCTGGCACAAACCTTTCATCATAGCTGAGGTTTCTATCTGCAAACTGCTCCAGGAGGGTCCGCTCCACTACCTGCTTGGGAGCACTGTTCTGCAAGAAGTAGACGAGCACGTGTTGCAGCCGGGGGTCGTTGTGAGGAGCTGGGGTCTCTTTGGCCAGCAGATACAGTCTGGAGTACTCTTCATGGAATGCCTATCAAAGTCAAGCAAATGCTAAATGACTATTCTTTATTATTGCTCCACACTGAATTTGAAACCTGCAGTGGGAAGGTTGATTATAAGGCTATAACTGTCCTGTAACTTAGCAGGATTCGGTGCAGAGATGTCTAACTTACATTAGCTGGCAATTGCCTAGGGTATCTTCAATTAGGCACACAGTTCCTACAGTTCTAGCCCAGAAGGGACCATTAGATCATCTAGTGTAACCTCCTGTATGTGATATATATTATATATCCTCCAGATAACCCTATGCTGAGCCCAATAACTTCAGTTAAACTACAAGAGACTACACTGTTGTGTGCTACAGGCAGAGAACAGGAGAAACCGAGGTGCCACCAATGCACAAGGCCCCTCTGATGGCAGGGAACTGAGTAGGTGAGATAGGCTCAGGTGATCCCAGCAGGCAAACCACACCCCATAACGCAACAAAAAGCGAAACATCCCCAAAAGGTGCCTGCCAGGCTGGCTGGGGTCAGAAATGAATTTTTCCCCCAAATAGGTGATCACTATGACCCTGGGCATGTGAGCAAGACACACTAGCCAGGCTTCTTCAAGGATTTTCTATACCAAGTCAGAGCACAGTTCCACCCAACTGATATACCATCTCCACTATATAAAGATGGATGAATCATATCAATCTATGTCTTAAACAAAAACATCACCTTTAAAAAGAGAACCCAAGGGAGGTAGGCACTGGCTCCACTGACTTTCAGTGGAGTTGGGTGCCTAACTCTCTTAGGCATTTTTGAATATCCCAGTCCAAGTGCTCATTTTAAGGAACCTGTGTTAAAATATGAGAGGAACAAGAATGCAGCTGGCAAAATGTTACTCTGAGCAATAATACATGATAGACAGTAAACCAAAAGCCCCATCCGATGTTCGTTCTCAATTGCAGTTGCAGAAAGCCACTGGTGTGATTTATGACTACCAGAAGCCAGTAGTCTGCTAGAATGAGTGATTTTTCCTAAGCCCTCTTGTAATTTAACTTTAGTTGTTTGTCTACAATGTCTAGCCCAAACTAGCAATGACTTGCTCTCTGGTCAGGATTATTTACCTTTTTCTAGTCCCTTTTCCCATTGCATAAGCTCAGGAGGACATACTTTACAGAAATTCCTACAGTAAGTGTGTATATTTATGGCCCAAATTTAATTACACACTATATACAGTCTGGTTATGACTAAAATTTAATTTGTATTTTCTGGTGATAATTATATTGAGCACTTATATAGTACCTTCCATCCAAGGGCTCCAAAGTGCTTTTCAGACATAATTAAACTTCACAAGCTCCTGTGAGATATGTATGGTAAGTATCATTTTTGCACTTGGGGAGAGAGAGAAGTGGAGTGATTTGGCCAAGGTCCCACAGCAAGCCATGATCAGAGTTGAGACAAGAACACGTCTCTTAACTCTCAATCCATTGCTTTAAACAGACTATGACAAATGCATATGCTTAACTTTACTCAAGGGCTGCACTGACTAATGTGACTGTGCGTAAGCGTTTGCAGCGTGTGGACTTACACTACCTTCCGAAAGTGCCCACCCACACCTCCCATTTTCATTAGATATAAACACTGTGGGGTTGTTCACTTAAATGGACAACATTAGGTCTACTCTGGTCCAAAATGCAGGCTTGGGAAGGGGGAAACAACAAATTTTCCAAACCTAGGACTACCAGAAATATTTCTATATTATTTGCCTTAGATTCCAACATTTGTGTGTGTGCATGCATGTTTCAAACAAAAACATTCTGTGCAACCTAAACACTGCAATCTTGGGCTCAAGCATGAGACGTGGAAAATCTTTCAGTTCTTGCAGTCTAAGGGGTTATCTGTAACACAAGAAAGGATGCTTATAAAATGTAATGGTTTTAGCCTGACAATCTCTCTTTAGTCCTCTTAGAACAAGTAATGGAGTGGATAAACAGAAAGGTGGAATAGAAAAAAAAATCTTAGCTGAAGAGAAACTGCACAGGAAGAGAGAGAAGTGGCCCACTCACATCTGTAATATGTTGAAATAGCATGCATTTTTCACTGAAGATGTCAGACTTGTGTGTTAAGAGATTTTTAAAAAGGAAAATAAAAGGGTACCTTAACAAGCCCTGCTTCAGACCCATCCCGGTCAAATGTCTGACGGGCTTTAGCAATAGCGAGGATCACACCCTGCATGGCTGGGCTAAGCATCACCTACCACAAGAACAACAAAAAACCCACACACAAAAACAGAGAGGAATAGAAGAAAAGCTGTCGTGATAAAAGAAAAAAAGTACAAAAAAGGTAAAGTTTTAAAGAAAAGTTGTCCAGATCTGAATGGAGATAGGGCAACCCAGAGCTGCCATTTGACTACAAATTTAATTTTATTGTCATTATGTGCAAGTCCATCTCTTGCATGCACTGCCCATGCTGCTACAGATGTTTGAACCCTTCACTGTGCCACCCCAACTACTCCTCCTGCACTCTCTTTCCCCCCAAAATCATCAGTAAGTGAAAACAGAGAGTCTTGCATGGTGTCAAGTATCAGGGGGTAGCCGTGTTAGTCTGTATCCACAAAAACAACAAGGAGTCCGGTGGCACCTTAAAGACTAACAGATTTATTTGCGCATAAGCTTTCGTGGGTAAAAAACCAAGTGGCTTTTTTACCCACAAAAGCTTATGCCCAAATAAATCTGTTAGCCTTTAAGGTGCCACCGGACTCCTTGTTGTTTTTGAAAATACAGAGCACACAAAACATGACTGGGGAGAACCTTGCAAAACTACCATTTAACATGAGAGCAACGCCTGAGGCAAAACATTCCATTGTACTACCATTACAACACAAGTGTATATTTAATGCAATCAGGTCACATCCAGCTCAACAGATGGAGCTATTGCATTGATAAAATCCGTGAGACAAAACATAAATGTTGGTTTACGCAAAGGACAATGCTAAACCCACACCAAACCCTAAAATGCCCATGTAAACTAACTGTCTGAACAAATTAATTCTCTTGCAGACAGATTTGTGTAGCTGATATGCAATTACAGTCTAGTCTTAGAAAAAAGACTGTGAAAATTTTTTAGGTGTCTGATGTGGTATACTGAGCCTCATAATAGGGCTCTTTCAATTGCCAGAATCAGATAACAGTACCTGTGATTGGAAAAGTTACATGGCATTGACTGTATGACATTGTCAGCTGACAATTATGATGATTATGTGAAAAGTAGAATAAAAGCCATTGACAACTGGGTGAAAAAAAAAAAGTACAAAAGCCACCTTGTGAAGCCAGGCGCCCTAGAAACACCTTAGATATGAGTGACAGGAAGGAAAGGAAGGAGAGGAAGAGGACTTAAAAAAAGTGGGAGCAGATCTATTGAGTAAGAAGATGAGTGTGTGTGTTTTTATAGAGTCACTTTTCTGACAACTTTTCAAATAGTTTTAAAAAGTAAATTACTAAACAATTGGACCCAACCTCTCTGCTTACTACAGAGGGAAAAATATACTTGAACAACACACAGTTTCATGGCAAAACCACTACTCGCCACAAATCTTCAGAAAGCCCCAAAGCAACCCACAACTGCAAAGATTAATGCCAGAAAAATAACTAGCTCCTGCACTGGGCTCTGTACCTCCTCATTATATCCATCTGCGTCAGATCTAACCAGAATCTTCCCCACTCTGGGGATCTCCACTTCAGAGACCTGTGAGCTAGGCTGGGCAGCAGACTCTGTCCCTTTAGCATCTTGTTGCTGTTCTGACTGAACTGTAAGGGCTGTTTCTCTCAGCTGGGCCTTTGTTGGTTCTGCCTCCTTTGGCTGTGGCAGCAGAAAGAGGAGAGAGAGAATAAGAAACACACAAAAAGCTAAAACCAAACAGGAAAGTAGAAAGGAGTTGGGTTAAAGGCAGCAGTGCTACAGAATTATAAGCAAGTGAGAGACAGAGGTCTGTTAACACAGAGATGCAAAAACAGCTGGCTGCTGCAGGGCCCATGTTCCAGAGTTCTCACCTCATACAGAGCAGCCTCTACACCATTCTTCTCATAGGCATCAGCTGTATTTGCAATGGCCTGCGCTGTCTGGTCCTTTGCAATCCTGGCATGTTCGGAGGACAGCGAGCGTATGCTGTGTTCACAGCCTGACAATGGATCTGATTGGAAATTCAGAGAGATGTTAACATTCAATAATGTCACCAGGAAGGCACAAATCCAAATGGAAGAGAGGAAATTGGTAAATAGGATGGCTGCATGGTACTGTACCTTAGTATTTACCAGGCACAGTGACCAATGCCCTGCCCCATTGTTAACCCATGAAACTCCACTTTCTAACCTTGTAATTGGTTGCCGCCTCCTTTGTTATGGAAGAGCCAACTCAATTTTCCTCACACACAACTCAACTCTTGGGTAACATTCCAGAAAAGACAACATTTCGAATGACAGGTCATTCAATGTAAACGCTACTAAGGTGTATCTACACTACAAACAAGCTTCCCAGCCCAGGGAGACAGATTCGGGCTAGTGGGGCTCAAGCTAACACACTAAAAATAGCAGTGCGGATGTTGTGGCTTGGGCGGCAGCTCAGTCTCTCAAGTTTACCTGACCCCCGGGTCTGAGCTTGGGTGGCTAGCGCAATTTTTAGTACACTAGCTCACGCTCCATTAGCATGAATCTGTCTGCATGGGCTAGAAGGTTTGCTCCCGGCTGCAGCATAGAGGTACTCTAAAATACCCGATCAAGCGAAGCACTTCATCACAAAAATAGTCACACTGAAGTCAATGGCACTGCTCGTGTTTAAAGTTAAACACGTGCTTAAATGCTCTGGCAGATTAGGGCCTCAAGTTTTTGTACACAGCTCAACAGACCCTGAGCTCAAGGGTCAGTATCTCACACATTTTGCCGTTCAGAAAACAATTTTGTGGCCTCAGAGGACAGAATTATGGACTACACATGGCAGAAAACCTTAATCATTTGGCAAACTGTGATGCACAACCCCAATTTTACATCGCATTTGATTCTGGAGTTTGAAATTTAATCCCAAGGGAAACAAATTAATGAATTATCTCTCTGCACTTTCAACAAATTCTTCTTTACCTCCTGTCCTAAAACATGAAACGCTGCTGTGTACCATTAAACAGCACGACTGCACTTCAATGGCAATATTATACACAACCACATTTGTGAAGCTCAGCGAGACTCATGCTATAAAAGATTGCTGTAATGGGTGGGGTCTCCCACCCAAGAGGTGAACATGTCAACTTTCTACAATAAACACATAAAATATTAATATAATTAAATCAAACTGAGATTAGATCATTGCCATGCGCTGAATGTAAAACAGGATATGATCACACTTGATGGCATGTCTATAGCTATGCAGATATCAGCACATCGCATGATAGAACATTAGCTTTTTCTGCTGATATGATGGAAATTCAGCAACTGAGCTTAGTTGGTAGCTTTTCCAAGGTGTTCAAAATTGTTATGAAAAGCTCAGATAATGGTGGAATTTATTACAGGGAAGTTATTGTAGAGACATGGAACACGATCGGCAAACACACTGATTTTGTGTTACCTTGTCCTGATTCAGACGTGAAATCCTGAGATTCAGAAGTAGCTGAAGGCTCTATCTGAGGGATCTTGCAGGATTGCTCCTGTTCCCATTCCTCCACCTCCTGTTCAAGCCTCCAGTTGTCCTCTTGTATGTAATTCTGGAGTTCAGGTGGCAGAAGTTCTATTTCTTTCTGAAACTGTCCTGTCTCTGCATCATCATCATCATCTGGAGAAAAGCAAGATTTTTAGTTAGCAATGAAACACACAGCAGCAAGATAATACTGCTGCAAACGAGGAATATCTAGAAACATTACAGAAGATTGATCAAATGGTTTGGAAAAATAAAGAAGGAAAAGAATTTTTTTTCCTGGAATTTGAATTCAAGATGCTCCATAAATAAGTACAAGAAGATGGTAGGTGGTCAGTTCTTTGGGCAAAGGACCGTGGTTTTGTTCTGTGTTTATACAGAACCTAGTACAATAGTCCATGACTAGTGCTCCTCTGCACTACGGTAATACAAACAATAACTAACCATGGAAAGGTACATTTCTGCATGGCGCACCTGGGCTCAGTAAACCCACTCAAAGTAACAATCAGGACTGAGAGAGGGCATAGATGATTTCTCTTTACCAGAGGCTACCATAATGCTACAGATGGGGCTTAAAATGACAATAACTAGAAAACTTGGAGTTCAGCTTAAAACTCTACACTTCCACCACTACATGAAACCCAGGGGTAGGAAACTGCAAGGATTCCAGGTAGTGAGTGATTTTATACAGGTACTGAAATATCTAGGAATAATGAGACACTGGATAATAATGGTATTTCAGCTGTATAGTACCGCTTAAGGGAAGAACATACTTAGGAATATATCTAATACCGAATGATAATGCCCTATCCCAGATTCTTTCTTTTATAAAAATATTTAAAAGCACAAGGATCTTTAAAAGCACTAAATGTCTATTAAGTCTCATTAAAAGCATAGGATGGGTTCATTTTAGAAACTGAAATGTCAGAGCACGAGGAAGACAAACAAGAACTTGTTTCAGCTTCCGCATTCCCATTAACTAGATTCTCCAATGACTATTGCTGCATTGTTTGCTTCTATTATAACAAAATGAGCCATGTATGAAATTATTAGGCTCTTCTAGATGGCCAACAGCTGTACGATGCCACATGTATGATAATGCTTGCAAGTAGCTGCTTATACACTCATGCATTGTAAACACACAATTACAAGGATCAGTTATCATTAGTGATAATTCATCTCAGGCACAGAAGGGACGATACGCTGCATAAACAACATGCACTGGATGTGCTGTGTATATTATGCTACCACTATCTATCAGAAGCCAAACCAAAAAGCAGGGTATAAATGGCCAGGCCAAAGTAGGAAACATTCTGTTTGATCTTATAAATGATTTGCCAACTGCACACACACACACAATGAGAATGCCAGAATACAGGCAAACTGAAATACAAAGACAAATGCAAGACTGGACATTTATATGGATAAGAAGAATAGTTACAGTTAATGCTAAGAAAAACCCTGAAGCATGAGGTTAAGACAATCTCCAACAATTAGGGATTAGGACATCCTTAATTTAATGGGGGACAGATTAGCCCGCATATGCCTGCTGCAAGATTTCTTTTGCCTTCCTCTGAAGCATCTGCTCTGGCGACTGTCAGAAAGACAGGATACTAGGATAGATAGACAAGGGGGCTGACCCAGTATGGCAATTCCTATGAGCCTACATTAACCAAGCTATTTGAAATAATACTTTAGTATCAACCCTAAAGGTCTGAACAAGCGCTCACTTGGGCTGGTGAATCAAGCACAGACAGGACAGGAAACATCTCACTTCACATATCTGTTTTGTTTCCAACTTCCTCTTTGGCCATGGCCAAATTAAAATCCCCTTTGTCACAGCTTCCCCATCCACAGAACAGGGATAACATTTACTAGTGTCATAGTGGAGTTGAGCAGGTTAATGATCATTCAATGCTATGAAGGCAACACATACTACACAAGTGACTAAGTACTACCTGCAGCTTTGGTTCCAGTACCTGCAACAAAGTAGGACAGCTTATCATTGATGTACATAAGACAGTAGGCACTGGCATTCCTCAGGCCTCCATATGAATCTCTCTCCAGTTCTTCCCAGGATGATTCTGTCACAGAGATGTCATTGAATTTGAGCCAGCTCTTCCGGGGCTGGTCATATATGTAGGCCCAGTAGTGACCAGCATTTGCTTGGCCTTCGTGAACCAGGACGGCATGCAAGCGATAAGGAACCTGAAAATTCACATGAACAGGATTTCCAGGCTTATCTTTAATGGATGAAGTAATCGAAAATCTATGACGACATTCACAGCTGTCATATGCTTAAAAATTGTCCATTTGTACATTTGACTGCCTAATGCAAACAGATTCCCTTCCCCTTGATGAGCTCAGCTTAAAAACACTTCTATCCACTACCACAGTGTCACTATGACATCCTAAGCCTGACCACCCCACTGGTATCCAAACCTGTCAAACTAATTTTATGTTCCATGTGTGGAAGTCATCATATCTCATCTAAATTATTTAATGAGTTTCTTACTACTGGGGCTCTTTTTAAAATGTTTGCCAGAGACCCATGATGTACCAGACACAAGTTCTTCTGGTTTCTATTGCTGGGGCGAAAGATAATTGGAACTTGGAGCTAAGCCCTCTTGCATTTGCATTAAAATCTGAAACAAAAATTCTCAAGCAATCAGCCTGGCTGCCTGTAACAGAGCCCTGTGCCTGGCACAAAAAGTATTTTCAGGATTAAAATTGGAGCAGCATCCTGCAAGTGTTTGTTGCATATATTTTTAAAAATACACTTCCTACAGTGGCTTTGATTCTCTGAACACACCTCTGTAATTCCAAACTCTAAGATTACCTGCACTGCTATGTGGTGACAGAACGTATTGCAAAGTACACTACCCAAAGACCCGCTTCTCACATCAGAGAGAATAGTCTAGGCTGATAACCAAAACCCATCCAAAAATAATGCCCTCTCTGTAGAGTCTACTCAGAGGACGGTAGTTCCCAAGGTCCTTCCCGCCCAAAGTATCTGAGTGACACGGATCAGAGGATACTTCATCACACTCAGATCTTGGGAATCTAACATAACTCTGAGGACACCAGTGTATAATTTTCAGATGCCTGTTCAACCTATGCTTCCTGTTCTTTGATACAGAAACAAATGAATCCAAGAAGAGCCTGGGACTCTCAGTAACTGGCTGCTCTACTCGCAGGTAAAGATTCAGAGACCTCATGCCCTGGTGGATGCAAGAAGTTCTTTTGCAGATAGGCTCAGACTCAAAACCACCAGGCTCTTTCTCCAATAGATGAGAGACCTCTCAGGCAAAGACTTAGGCGGCCCTCTTGGTCTGACAAAGTCCCATCCTGCTTATGTGGGCCCAAGATCCAGGCTCATTCCTAGGCCAGTTCTTGCTGGAAAGCCTTTATTATCTGTTTGCAGTATTTACTGGCAATGCAGTTCCTGGCTGGTGGGCAGATGGAGCAATTGCCTATCTAAGGTGTTATATACATTGCAAGGCATCCACAGTGAAGGTGACTTGATAGAAATATTAGGTCAAGGACAGAAGTCTTGAAATCTGAACACTTTTCCCAGGCACAGAAAATTTAATTGTCAGAAAAAATCCAAACACAAAACAAGAAAAAGCTAATGACAATCCCTTTTTTAAAACTCTAATCCTAATACAGGGAGATGACTAGGTTCTGCATCCACTGAGACTGAAAAGCACAGAAATGAGACAGTTGGCAGTGGAGGAGTTTCTGGACTCTTGGTTCTAGAAAACTGGAAGAGAGCTCATTCCCACACTACCTCTCGCCCCATCCCCAACAGCTTTGAAACAGGTCCAGTCACCAAGTAGCAGGGCAAGAGATCTCACATCAGGTATCTACTGAGAAGGTGTCATGTAAGTAGGTAGAACTACAAAGTGCGATTCAGTAGAGAGAAGAATTCTGAGCCCTAAGCCAGGCCATCTTGCACCGAGAAGTCAGCTATCTACAACCGAGACCACACAAAGGGGCTAACCTGTTACATACTAACGGGAAAGGGCAGCGAAATAAAGGTTAGCGTTTACCTCAGTTTTCATCAAGAAAGCTAGGGGGGAAAAACACTGACACTATTTCTTGAAAATCCTTAAATTTTTCAAAACAAGATTTTCCTGAGGAATTTTTGAAATATGCTAACGCAGAAAAAGTAAACTGACCACCAACAACTTGGATTTCACTTTAGACAATGGACATTGTTCAACTGGTAAACATAGTAGAGCATGACTACCCTGCTACTCTGCAGTGACATGGGGAGTTCATCCTTCCGGGTCTTTGACCAATCCAGATATCTATGACTCTACAACATTCATCTTAGCATGTGCAGGTGCCCAAGTGCTAATGGAAGAAACTGACAGAGACAAGTGTTTATCTAAGATTATATTAAGTGCATTATATTCAGTTTGTTTTTAGGTTCATGGATCCTATTATTCACCTACTAAGAACACCATTCTAAATAAGTTATTTCCCTCCTCAGAAAGGCATGTGTTTCATTTCAAAGTGAACTTGGCAAAACATTTAGACACACACACCCTTCCTATGTACGTGCATGTGATTTCTCCTAATATTAACGTGACCTATAGGCACACACCAGCAGAACTATATCATTTTAATGAGCCCCTATATGAAAACCTAACAAAGCCACACTTCCTACCTGACGGAGGACAGGGTCACCATACATTTGACCAATGGATTGATTGATTCTGGTAATACAGTCCTTGAGATCTATTGAGAAGAACAACACTGATCATCAACTTTGTTTAGATAGCGCCCCCTTAATCCCAAACACATGGCAGCACAGAGATACTCAGAACACAGGCCCATGCCTGCCCTCAGATACAGTCATGCAGTTACTACCACAGAAGTTAATGGAAAGTTGTGCATGCTTATCCTGTGATAGACCAGGGCCCTGTCACAAGACATATAAGGATATTTCTATACTAACGGCTGAAAAGCAGCCACCTCTGGGGTGGAGCATGGTTCAGGAGTTATCTAGCTGAAGCTAACAGAAGGAATTTAGGTTAGCAAAAGGCTGAAATGCACGATAAATACTTGGGGCCAACCTTGAATGTCCTGCTCAATCTCGCTCCTCCATCGCTGTAGGCACGTCCTAACTAGGCTCATCTCCTCCTCTGTGACCACACGAGGAGCTGGGCATTCAGGCATTTCAGCTGGTAAACAGGAGGGCTGGGGAAGTTTGCTCATTAATTCTTGCTGGGCTGGAGGGTTTATCAGAGTGGATGCTGCGCCTTCAGTGTTCTCAGTATTTTCTGTTTCTAATACACTATGAAGCAAAAGCCACATACTGATGGACACATCATTCAGGCTGCTGTTTCCAGAGAGCATATGCAAGTTCACATAGCTTTAAAAAATATTCAAGATCTGAACAAGCAAGTTTCCATCCCAGATGATGCCAGGCTTAGACTTATTCACTAGTCAGGAAACAGTTTGGCAGCCTATAAGCTTATTAAAGTGCAGTCACTTCCGAGAAGACCAGATCCCAAGACAAGAGGTGATGTAAAAGTTCAAGTTCTTACAGGACTCCACAGTGAAGCATAGAGCCACAATCCACAGCACTGACAATTCCTTCCCATTTTACCAGAGAACTCGTTTACTTGCTTGCTTAAATTTAGAGCGCAAGCCAACCATGATGGGCAGATTTGTGATAATTCAATATTGCACTATTTTAATGGTTGATGAAACAAAACAAATGACTACTACACTGTGCAAAGAGTTCATATAATTTATCTCAAGATTACTGCTTAAACATAGCAGTTTGACTTTGTATCTGGAGAGGAAAAAAGCACAAACTGGATGCAGAGTGTTATCTGCACAGACTGGTAGCACCCATCTGGGAGCAGGGATACTCAAAAGCAGGGACTAACTGTGTTGGTGTTCATACCACACATCCCCAAGGTTCTGAGTGCCTAGACAACTGAATCACACGACATAACAGCTCCTGGAGCAATGATCCAGGACTCTTTAGCTCAAAAGGTGAAAGCTCTCTCTTTAGCCAACAAACTTTTTTCTTTCCTCACCTATTTTGCTGCAGAGGTTCATTCAGACCACAGCACTCAGCTGGGGACTGTGCGGGCATCATCTGAGAGTCCTGAGCAGAGGGAACAACTAAAGGTAGCTTTGTACTGGCAAATTCAAGAACATACTGCAGCATGTCAGGTAATGGGAAGCGGCTTGGGCCAGAGCCATATTTCATGTATCTAAAGAACAGAAGCAAGACAGCAGAGGTCTGTTAACTGAATCCTCACACAACTCATTGTACATGGAAAGGAAAATAGTATGAGCAAGCCATATTTATTATAAAATATAAATGCCTAGTAGTTGCTGGTTATACAAATAACTAACTGCTGTGTTACTTAAATTAAGATCTTGAATACAAATAGCCCTTATTCAATTTCATACCTTGTTTAAAGAGAAAAACACCAACTCCTGGGGGAGGGGGAGGGAGTTGGATGCTTACCTTTCCAATTTCTGCTGCAGAATTGCTATTTGCTTCCTCAACTTCCTGGTCTCCTCTCTCTTCCTTTGAATAATCTCTTTATTGCTGTACAAATACCTAAACGAATACCGCCCCCCCCAAAAAAGTGACTGAGTGAGATTTGTATACCTCTAAGCTCTGCATTGTCTCTCATATGCATACATTTTGACATTTCCCTGCTCACAGACCCACCCACCCCTCTATTTCTCTAATTAGAATAAAACAGAGCAAAGTGTGAGGAATCAGTTTTGAAATACAACAGTCTTGTAAAATCTCACCTGTCCATATAAATAATCTGGGGAAATTCTAGTTTGTTGTGAATCTTCTCTGGCTGCCCTAGTGACTGATTGAACTCGAACCGGGAGAGTTCAAAGGTTAACACGGGAGGGAGCTTTGTAAACCAACGCTGTAACAAAAAGAAATGCCCCAACCAGGGCACAGGTTTTGAGAGGATTGCTGAATGGCACATTTTATATCGACAAGTTATTCTGCCCCCAAATAATTTTTTTCCCTTATACATACGAAGCGTGTACTAAATCAATATGAGTTGCTATTTAGAAAACCTAATTTTACAAAATATAAGACTTCCACTTTCATTTTAGACCTTCACCATACAAAACATAGTTAAATAATATCCAGAAAGTCAATATTTGATGTCCAGGGCACTCAGATTGATAGACTACCATCTAGTCAAGGAGCGAATTTAGAATAAGTGGGCAAATGCTACACTGAAACAATGTATGTAGGCCCAAGGCCTCAGAGAAGGAGAGTTACTTCACAATGCTGTTGGCACGCAATGAACATCAACAAATAGCAGCCCGTAACCAATCTCTGTGCACTCAGCTATTCAGCGACTCTTGGTCTATTCAGAAACTGTTTAGCTTAAAAGGCACAGACAACAGACCCAACTTCTCAATATTTGGAGTGTGCAATAAGTGCCACACTGAAAAGATTATCCGTAGTTGCATTTATACTTTCCCCGGCTCCCAGCTTTCAAGAATATTTCTAACATCCATTGCCAGAAGAATATTTCACACATTCTTATGCAGTGCCAGACAGACAGTACCCTCCCCATTTTGGGCTCCTGATAGTACTCTAAGATAGTACTGCTCTGAAAGATCCATATCAGAAAGCCAGAACACAACAGTTCATCCGCGGAATCAAAATGCACCAATAATATTGACAGTGACGGCCAATATTAATGTATACAGAGGGAAGCTGCCATTTATCATGACCCTTTTGAGAAAAATCAACCAAACATCCTCATAAACAACAACAGAAGGGAAATGTTTATAAACCTGCTATTGAGGTAAAGAAACAGATTTCCAGTTAATCCTGCTGCAAATCAGGCTTCAAAACACTCACCTAAGGTCTCAAAAGATAAAATGCACTTTATTTTCCACGTCCCCTATCATGCAGTCCACTAGTCAGGATATCCTGAGAAGTTAAATTAATGAGCACAGATTTTCCAATCACATCTCTTAAAAATAAAAGTGACAGTCCTTGATGCATGTCCTGGTTTGAGACACTTTCCCCTATTTTTCAGTTAACCATTTAAAGGAACTAAGCGCCATGGACCTCTCCCATCACCTGTTTAACTCCATCTTGCTCACACTGCTCAAGATTTTGCACTACACCAATCCTACCAGAAGTCTGCTTCAACTGTGTCCATGTGGCACTAACACAAGAGCAGCAATCACCAAAATCAGGTAGTTGATTCCAAAGTTAGATGGGCCTTAAAACAAGCTCACCCTGAAGTCAAACCTCTTTTTCCTTTTTTAATTCAAGTCACTGCAACTCATCTTTCAGGCATTCATCTAATGAGTGAAACTTCTTTTCCCCTCCCCCTGTTACCACCAACCCTTGCAAACATCTCTTTAGCATTATCTTCCAGCACCTTTTTAACATGGCCTACAAGCTAATTTCCCTCAGTCTGCCTTCACATCACATGAATCCTTCCATCATTTTAGTTGACCTTCTCTGTAGTCTAACTTTCCCATTGCTTTTATCTATAAAGTGAGGCTGAATGCAATGTGTGTATCTTAACTTTTTAATTTGTCACAAAGTTAAGCAGCTTATGATCGGCTCATGATTTGAGTAATTAAAAAAAGGAAAAAATAATCAGCACAGGCAGAAGGTTAAGAGTTACAATGAGAGAGAAAAATGCACACTATAACAGGGAGAAAAAAAATACAAATTCCAAATGGCATACCATAGAGTTAAGCACTGTACTTTTACCCTCCGAAAATATGGAGGCAGTGGTTCTCCCCTACTCAGGTACAGGTAGGCTTCAATAGAAAGAGAGAGACTTTATCACACTTACACATCAGAAGCAGGCGCCTTTTTAAAAGGGTAAACTCCTGGAGTAAGTTACATTGGACAACAACGTCTTTACAAATAAACTAGGGCTTGGTGGCTTAGATATCAACTCACATTTAACAGTAATGTACATTTAACAGACTGACCATGTAATGTTTTACATTTGGTGAAGAGGGAATGTTTACAGTCACCATTTTAAGTAACCAGGATAAAACAGGACCTCCCTGCACTACATTGACTGCATCCTTTCAAGAAGAGCAAACAATACATGCAACCAACCTCTTGTCCATACTTCACTGATTGATCAGAAGGTAGTGGCTCAATCTCCCCTTCTACCATGGCCCCTTCCAAACATTCGTTCAAGTTTCGATAACCGTTTACCTGAAGGGGATACTGGCCAAAGGTCTCTATCTTGGAAAAGGTCTTGCCTGAATAAAGGAGAAGGAAAAAAATATAAACCACCTTAAAACACCAACAGAAAACACTCTCTCTTCTCTAACTTATTTTATCATATACAACTATATGTTTCCTACCAAAACAACAGCTTGTAACGCTCCACGAAATCTTGCAACAAATCACGCAAGATCTTTCATCGGGCAGGCAAGTTACACATGTCATCACAGTAGAGAAATTAGGCCCCTACGGCTCATCTTCTCTAGAGGTGAGACCCTTTACAAATCTATGTTCATAACGGTAAGCATTTAATAGAGATTATTACCCTTTGGAGAACAGACTTTACATTATATTCGCCAGCACTAGGACAACTATATAAAGATACTCTTATCTATACACCTATTGTAATAGCGAAGGATCAGACAGACAATCTCACCAAGAAACTGCAATAACACACAATGTCACAAATCACATCATAGATCTACACTACAGCAACAATCAAATCACTCAAAAAAAGAATTAAACGTAAAACAAAAAAATCTCTAACTTACCCTCATGGACCCCTTCCGTCAAGAAAGTCCCATAGAAGAGTTGCACCATTGGGTTCTCTGATTTGTCTTGAGGGCTGCTGTTTTCAAAAGGAGATTGTACGCATTTTGTTAGACAGAAAGGGAGCATATGGGTGAGTTACACTTGCCTTTACAAGAATACACATATATTAGAATTTTTATTTTGATGGCATCAACAAAATATAACCAACATTAATATAACTGGAGGAAAAAGTAGCAAAAATGGCTCAAAACACAAGCTATGAGGGAATAGGTTGTGTGTGTGTTTAAATCCTCAATTAATAAGTAAGTATTACATATGCTGCCCTTCCCCCCCCCCCTTTTTTTTTTTTTAAGGCCACAAGGTATTAAAATGGACTTAAATTTAACATCTAAACCTCAGCCTTGGGCTTTGTGCCTAAAAACAAACCAAAAGAAGAGAAAGCCATTAGTTTGTACTAATACTGATAATTATACTCTATATTTTGAAAGTGCCTTTAGAAGGATCCCAAGATGCTTTTGTAAATATCATCATCCCTTTTATGTAGATAGGTAACACAGAGGTGGGAGTGACTTGCCTAGATCAGGTTACAGAGTAAGCCAGTGGCAGAAACAAGACTGCAACCCAGGAGTCCTGGATACTTGACTTCTATTCTAACCCATACTTGCTCGTTCTGGATAAGTTTGCACTCAGAACTCCAGTTATGCTTTTTTAAACATGCCCCTTTATCCTTAAGGACAAAAAAATTACTCTTCTGCACTTAAAAAAATCATCAACAGTTATTTAAGTGTAAAAAGCAGCTGATTTTCATACAGCGTGACCCTGTACACGTCAAGACTTTTTATTATAATTGTAACTATCACACTACAGATTAATGCACTATTCAATATGAATTTACCCCATTGGCTGTAACAACTCTAAAAAATACAATATGGAGTTTATTACCTGGTGGACAATCCATGTTGAAGAGTTCCATAAAAGCCTATGTACTCTGCAGGTCACAATGGCACTGAATAAAAGCACCTATCTAGGGAAGAAGTGCTGATGCAAACATAGAATGCTGAATATTATTGAAAAGGGATTATCCTGACTGGTGCAGTGAAGAAATGGTTTCTTCATTTGCCTAAAATATTAATTTAAACTCTAACATCTATTAGCCAAACAGCCTCATTAAAAATCTATTTTTCTGGACATTAAGTAAAAACAACCCAAAACATAAAAACTCACTTTACATTCACAGAAAGCTGGAATGCATCCTCTAGCCAATCCAGAAGCTTGTGCGTGACTTCGCTCACATCTTGCTAAAAGAGAGCCAGAAATTGGACAGTGAAAGATTCTACCAAGAAAATGCTTTGATATAAGCAGGATTTATTAAAATCTCACACTTTTTCAAATATACTCACAAAACTATTGTGGTATCTCTAACCATGTGAATGACCTATACGAGCTATGTGTTGTTACCACTATTCTAGATCAAAGATGAACACTTGTCCTGCACTGTACTAAGTCAGAGGAAACTATGCTAGGGACATGGAGAAGAAGTCAAGTTCCAAATCTGATGATCCCCAACAGCAACTCCGAAAGCAGTGAAGGGACAAATTTCACACTGACTATTTAACCGTCTTTTTGGTAGGCACGTACCTTTCACTGTCATGTATCTTTAAGAGAGAGTTTTACACACACTTGTCAGGTGAAACACAGACAGGCAAGTGTTTGGAATTATAGTAGCATTAAGTGAAATATGACTGTTTACCATCTTTGCTAGGGCTGTTCTGAGAAAAGCCAAGAGGCATTGTATCCATTTTACCTGCTGTTCGTCAGCTGATTTAAATGCGCCTTTTAAAAGTTCCAGTGATGCAGTGGGGTCTACAAATTTACGATGTGTCCCCAACATTAAAGCAAAGAGACACTGAAGTTCCTGCATGAATGCAATATTTCTCTTTTCCTAGAAAAGAAGAGAGCACAATAGTCTACTGCTCAATAAAAGTAGGACACATATATGAAGAGGTAAATTACAGGGCCAGCACATAGGACGTTAATACAAGGGACAGTCTCAGAAGAGACCAACTTGTGTTAGGAACCCATATCTCCTTCCCCATGATGCAAGGATCTTTCTTGAAAGCAAATCTGATCGTGAATTAAGCACATGGGAGAACTGAAGAATTTGCAATGGTTCCTCAAAGTGGGAAATCTGGGATCAGGAGAAGTGCCAGAAGTAATATGGCATCTAGAATAAGAAGGCCAAGCTGTACTCTAATATTCTGAAGTTCAGACTTGAGCTAGAGACTTGGGGTATTAAGGAGAGGTAGGGGGGAGACTGAGAGGAAACAAGTCCTGAATTTCCAGAGTCACCAAAACAGATTAACAAGACACAGATTTTCCACCTCTCTGCAGTTCTTAGTTTTTGAGAAAAATTTATGAGAAACTTTCAACCATTTCTGTGATAACGCATTGTCCTCAAGAGCAATTTCCCACCCTTGTCCACAAGCAGCAGCTCAGTTTTTATAGAGTCACCAATACAAACTGCCAGAATCCCCTGGAAGAGGCAGGCATTTCCAGGAGAACTTACACTGCGACTTCGACAATTCTCAAGCATGCGCTGCGGGAGAGAATAACCAAGGACCAGCCTACGAAATTCCGGCAGCTGGAAGAGAGACTGAAAGGAAAAAATGGTTAAAAGAGACTGTCCGGGCTGGTCAACTCAAGTCTGGTCTTGGGTCTCATCTTCATTTCCCAAGTCCATGTCATTCTTTGCAGACTGTATGTTTTCTTACCCACCCCCAAATTCTTCAATGACTTTCTCCTCAAGAAATAAAACCTTTAACAGCTCTGCCCTTCCTCTTCCCCAAGACTCAATTCCCTCCCTCCATGCCAACTAAATTTTTCAAGTAAATTAAGAGAAACCTTTTGAGAAAGAGTGAGGAGAGTTCTTCCATTTCACATTGGAAATTGGAATGATAGGGCAGGGGAATCAATCATACCCCCAGAGAAGCATTTCGGTAACTGTTCCCCACTTCGCCCCAAAAACAGAAAAAACCCCACCCCCGACACTTATCTGCTGATGTAAAAAGAGCCCAAAGAATTAAGTGTGTTTGGTTCTTCTTTCTGCTGTCTCTTCTCATTTTACTAATCACTAATAATAATCATTAATGATGCACTCAGACTAGTTTCTTATTATTTCAGGCATCTAAGCCACTGTACTCCATTAACTGGAATCGGATACACCATATGCTGTGGAGCCAGCGTTCACTCCAGTAAAATTACATTATCACCACTTTACCAGTCTGGCTTCTGTCATCAAGAAGTATTTTACCATTGCACCATGACACATATTTGTGAATAATAATAAATACATAGATATATTTACATAGCCTTTTTTTCTCATTTATCTCATTTTTGCCCTGACTACTTGGCTGCTGTTTTTGAACAAGATCAGAGTAAAATATTCTGCCACATAAAGAAAATCACACTTTAGATCATTTTTGTTTAAAACGTGAAGCAGAAACCTGGCGGGCCTGCACAATCTGCTCTCAAATCTTAGTTATGCAATTGAAGTCTCTCAAAAAAACTGCATCCCAGGGTGAAGACACCCAGTTTTTCTTTTTCTATTAATGTGAAGTTGCTGATAGGAATATGGAGAAATATAGACTAGCTAGCTGGCTCACTGTGACCTTGGAAAAGTCAACTAACTTCTCTGTGCCAACATTTGCCCACCTGCAAAAAGAGAACATTACTTCCATCGTGGAGGTGCCACAAAGCTTATTTAATTGCAAGAAAGGCACGTTTTGACCCCAAAATGGCAGGCATTACAAAAGGGTATAAAGTATTACTGTTACCACTGCATTACCTGAATGACTGCGCTAAACCAGCATGTATTTCCAATGTTCTTCATGCCAACAGGCCAGTCATTCACTCTCCTCCAGTCATTCTGCTTGGGATTCTCTCCCCAGACTTCACACCGTTTCCTTTTGGAGCGATTTTTGTTTTCAGCAGCATTTGCTTTGTGGGGCCTGTCAGAGGACAAGTATGCAAACGTCACATTGTAAGAAAGCATCCCCAGGGTCTTGACAGCCTTTTAAAAGGGACAGAAACTCATTTTGGTATGTAAGCTTGGCTAGTCAAGTAACCACAACAGAACAAGACAAAAGGAATTGGACACTACTGCAGTCCCAAACAGGAGACATACATGGAGCTGGCTCACAGACTGGCATACAGTGCCTGTCACCTCTAGGACTATTATGTTATTATCTATTATATTACAGGTCAGGGTCCCATTGTGCTGACAGATACTCACAGCCATCCCATCTGCCTCACAGAGCTTCCATTCTTAAAGGTGAGAGGTAGTTGGGTGAATCAAATAGGGCCTGGAGGGTGGAACTGGTAACAGTACTACAAACTTTTTTTTCATAGACCTACATGTCAGATTTGTAGACAGAGCATATTCTGTTTATTAGTTAATGGAGATAAACTCAACAAACGCAACCCAGTTAAAAAGGGACAAAGTGAATGGCTGTTTAGTAACCTTGTGCCTAGAAATTAAGGCAGGAGGCCTCAGTACAGTTCTTAATGGATAGGACCCACAAAAGCCTCTACGTTGGTCACATCGGTAGAGGTGGCAGGGACAGGATTGGCCATGAGGATAACTAGCCTTCAGTATGGTAGTGCGGTACTGCCAGTCTCTCCAAGTCAGATACAAAGTACCTTGGCGACAGTCCCCAGAGGGTGATAGTGGAAGCACCTTCCATCACCACTAAGTCCTCTTAAGTTGAATGAATAACATTTGTTTTACAAAAAGAAAAGGAGTACTTGTGGCACCTTAGAGACTAACCAATTTATTTGAGCATGAGCTTTAGCTCACGAAAGCTCATGCTCAAATAAATTGGTTAGTCTCTAAGGTGCCACAAGTACTCCTTTTCTTTTTGCGAATACAGACTAACACGGCTGTTACTCTGAAATTTGTTTTACAGTTGATAAGAACGCACTCTGCATAAAGCCCCAGGGTCCAGGTAGAAGCAAAGAACAAAAAGCAACATCCACATTCATTGACCTGTTCGCATCTCTTTCTACTGCTTGAACTTCCAGAGACTCCAGTAAGCTGAGAGCAATGACTGCCTGGAGGTCATCTTTGTTATCAGGAGTTAGATCAATCACATCTGGAAATTGAAGTGGAGTTATCAGTTTTACACTAGAAGCAGTGAAACATTTAAAAAAAAAAGGCCAAGGACCAAACAATTTTAACACAATTTTGCTTCATTAATGCAATTAAATCAAACAGCAGAAACATCACAACTTTAAATTAACTCCATGTCCTTTTAGTTTAAAAAATAAATACTCTACAATCTAGCAGCGAGCTGGGAAAAAGGTGTGCACTCCACGGTGCTACTGAAAGACCAGGATTTCTTTACACCTTGATTAGGACATGGGAAGTGGATAAGCAGCAGTCTGGATTGGTCTAACAAAAGGAAAGTGAATGGGCCTTAATTAAAGTTCTTAGTACCATAGAGTCACAGATTCCAAGGCCAGAAGGGACCATTGCGGTCATCTAGTCAGACCTCTTGTAAGCCAGAGGTCTTCCGCCCCCAAATAAATCCTAAATCATATATTTTAGAAAATATTCAATCTTGATTTAAAAATGGTCAGTGACGGAGAATCCACCACAATCCTTGGTAATAGTTCCAACGGCTAATGACCCTCACTAGTAAAAATTTGTGTCTTATTTCCTGTCTGAATTTGTCTAGCTTCAACTTTCAGCCATTGAATAATGTTATACTTTTCTAAGATAGACTGAAGAACCCGTTATTAAATATTTGTTCCCCGTGTAGGTACTTTTAGACTGTAATCACCCCTTAACCTTTTCTTGTTAAGGTAAACAGATTGAACTGCTTGAGTCTATACCTCCAAAGTGTTTTATCTAATCCTTTAATCATTCTTGTGGTTCTTCTCTGAACCCTCTCTAATTTATCAACATCCTTTCTTAACTATGGGCACCAAAACTAGACACAGTTATCCAAAAGCGGTCGCACCAGTGCAAAATACAGAGGTAAAATAACCTCTTGACTCCTACTCAAAATTCCCGTTTATGCAGCCAAGGATTGCTTTAGCCCTATTGGCCACAGCTTCACATTGGAAGTTCATGTGCAGCTGATTATCCACCACAACCCCCAACGCTTTTTCAGACTCACTGCTTCCCAGGAAACCCCCCATTCTGTGCGTATGGCCTAACGTCTTTGTTCCAAGATATATACATTTACATTTGGCTTTATCAAAATACATATTGTTTGCTTCCACTCAGTTTAGCAAGCAATCCAGATTGTTCTGTATTAGCGACCAGTCCTCTTCATTAATGACCACTCCCCCAGTGTTAGTTACTGAAATGGCTTTAAGAAATAAAGGGGTTTAGTTTGTTAACATTTTGTGCAAAGACTTGGAATCAAATTCAAGTCAGACATTGTGTACTACTGGTCCCATATTAAGTCTTGCGAATGCTCAGCCAATTACAAGGTCACTTGGTTTGCCACCTATTTGGGAGTAAGAGAGTGAAGAAAGCAGCCATTTTGAAACAGATGGGCCTTAAACAGCAGAATAAAATGTAATTGACTGCCCCCCCCCAGCGACTCCTGAATATGGTGCTTCTTATTTTATAAACCTGTTTAGTGCATAACAGGCAGCTCAATTAGGGAACGCATTGTTTGTGCAGCATATTTGTCTTTTACATGATTAAAGGAAATTCTTTCCAGTTACTTGTAAGTTTAGATTTATATATATGTTTCCTTAAATTTTAGCTTATATTTATACTTGGGGTTTTGTTTTGTTTTGTTTTTAAAGCATGTAATTGCTTTTAAAAACAATTTCCAGTTATTCAAACTCCTCGTTCACAGTAATCTGTCTGGGAGAAGGTCATCTGGCCTATTGTCTAGGTGCTCTAGCTGTCAGTAGCGTTATTCAGCTGTGCAGTAACACAAAACAGATTTAGCTGCTGAGCAGCAAGAACCCGTTGAAATGTGGTAAAGTAAGCCCCTCCCAGAAGTTAAAAATACTTATTTGATCTTTAGATATTTGAAGCATGGCTCCGTGCCCCTGCCAGATACTATCTTTCCAGCCATGCTTCTGGCAAAAATCAGCTCTTGGCATTTATCTGTTTCCAGGAAAAGGGTGCAGTAAGCTACCTTCTAAGGAAAAATCAGCAGTGATTTTACAGCAATTAACATCAACAACACAGCTGTGCTTGTGGTAGCAATTGTGTAATATATAATGCAGATGGGGCACAGGCTATTTACCTAATGCCATCAAAGCCTGTCTCCACCAGTTGCTCCAGGTAAAATTTTCAAAATCAGCTAAACCCTATTGACTTGCAGTGGTCCCAAGACACTTAAGACACTCAGGTGCTTTTGAAAATGTTACCCTTAGTGGCTGCGTATGTCACTGTTGCTCTAACATCAGTATAATTTTATAGTACAGACACACTCGCAGGTACTTAGGACTACTATCCTGCTGGTTCTTGGGGCCCTAGAGGCTGGAGTAAGCTCAAAAATGGTAAATGTGTGAGTGAATGAAGAACTACTTCTCCAGCTGAAAGAGAAACTGGATAGCGAGGAAGTTCTTGTGATAAAAGCAGCTGGTTGTTCAGTGGGCAAGAACGATCAAAGAGTGGAACACAAGCTTCAGAGAAAGTGCTTGAAGACTAGTTTAAATGCTCAAGAAAACACTAAATGGAGGAGTTTGGTTTCCCCAGGCTGCTAACAGGTATCTGTAGAAAGAAGTACATGTCTTAACAACTATCCTCAGTTCTTTATGCTATGGTGTATGACTGCCTTAAGGTCACAAAAGGCTACCAAAGCAGGGGAAGCGATCAGAGAAGGTCACAAGCCTCCAGGAAGAGCTGTTAGTTCTTAGCAGACAACTGATTTTAAAAATGAAAATAATTTCAGCTGGACAACTGGCATGCTGAGCACTGCTTATGGCCCTATATTCCAGTCTTTAGTTATAGTTATTCCTTACTTGTAGGATACTAGAAATGGATGGAAAACATTAAGCTCCTTTTGGCTACCTGAGTTACAAGGCCCTCCCCAATGAGAGCTTCTTAGACCCAGTCCTGGCCAAAGTCCTTCAGCCACTAAACTTCTGTAATGCTGTACAATAAGGCCGTCTGTATTTTATGTGTTGACCATAATGTTCTAGTTTTCCAGTTGGGTGGCAGGACCTTACTTGGTAATTATTTTGTTTCCTTCTTAACTGTATGTTATCAGCAACCACTGTTTGTTAGTTCTACCATGCAACTCATGGGCATGGAAGATAGGGCGTTTTGCCAATCACTTAAGAGGTGTTTACTTGACCTGGGAAAAAATGTCAGCTAAGTGGAAGTACTCTCAGAAACACTGGACATTCAGAGCCTGATCCCAGGAGCCTGAAGTACAAGAGGGCCACAGAATTAAAACCCAACTGAACACACAAGAGAGCACTCTTAATGAGAAATAGCATCCACCTGGAAATAAATAAGAAAATAATCTTATAAATGAGAATCAGTTTAAAAAAATCAGGTAGAGTGAAAGTAGGGCTGACAATTACTAAGCAATTTGTTATTGCTAGAATTACACGACTGTGCCATACCATTCATATTTTATGTGAAAGAGTATGCTGTAAAGCAATGAGGGCACAAAGAAAAAAAATCTAAGAGCCTAGCACATGTTTGCGCAAGACAAATAAACACTAACAAAGAGGTCCATAAAACTGAACCAATTTTCAGCAACTTCAAATCCTGTTAAACGTACACATTCTTTAACCATTTCACTTGACTGACACTGGTTTAACTAGCAAGGACACCCTGCGCCAGAGCTGTACCTGCCCTATGCAACAGAAAGGGTGAAACAAAAAGGTGGAGTTCTAAAGTGGACTCAGTTGTTCCCTGTTGCCTCGCTATAGGAATTCAAAGTGACAGTTCATCCACTTGGTGAAAAGAGCCGAAGTGGGGCTTATATAGGGCACAAGCCTTGTGGTAGCCCAGCAGAGTGAATTTCACCCCCAGCAATTTCGTATCAGTGATAAACCCATCTCACTTTCTGAGAAAGAGTGACCAGGAATGCACACAATATTCCTGATAAGAATGAACCACTTACTGGTGGGAAAAAAATGAGGAGTACTTGTGGCACCTGAGAAACTAATAAGTTTATCTGGGCATAAGCATTTGATAAAGGAGGGTTTTAGCCCATGAAAGCTTATGCCTAAATAAATTTGTTAGTCTCTAAGGTGCCACAAGTACTCCTTTTCTTTTTGCTGATACAGACTAACACGGCTATCAGTCTGACACCTGTCACCTACTGGTGGGGCGCTCTTTGCCCACAGCACTCCCTTCACAGTCAGATGGTTCCGCAGCGACTGCTTCCTGGCCTGGCTCTTTAACACGCTCCTCAGTGAGGAAGTTGACTGCTTCTGTTAGGTCACCATTTGCGGCCTGAGAGGAGAAAGGGGGGAAGGGGGAAATAGCCAAGCACCCATTATTCCAGATTCTTTTATATACATCTGAATGAAAATCAACACCATGCACGTGAAACAGAACACGCTGGCACCAAGTCAGCTTTCTCCAGCCATGAGAAAAAGCTGACTGCCAGAAAGGAGTTAAAATTTTAAGGCTGAAATTTGACAGATGATAAACAGATAGGGTTCATTCTACACCGTAAGTGTCATTCAGTCAACTCTGGTTCCCTTAAAAGAGATTAGGGCATTCACAGGCTCGAATATCAGGAAGATATTTAAGCACATACTTAACTTTAAGCATGTGAGTAACCCACTGAAATGAGACTACTCATGTGCTTAAAGTTAGGCATGTGCCTAAGCATTTTAGTCAACGGAAGCCTTATTAATGAGTGGGAGCACTGTGTCCTCAAGAAGTCATGAGTGTGGCCCTCTGCATTGCTTTATAATTGTAAGAATGAGTAAAGGAGCTGCAAGGACCACATGTTAAACACAGACCATACAGCCCATATCACAAGAGAAATAACTTTAAATAACATGGGTAGACAGACCTAGTTAGTTTTAGGGAACAAAGCAATGTTAAAATTTACAAACAAAATGCTTTTTCCCTCCCAAAACTCTGTAATCAATTAATTCCCTTGAATTTAATCCAATATTTTACTACAACTCCCACTTGAAGAAACATTGAAGGGGACTTTTCTGTTTGTTATTTGTTAGTTTCCTTCTTTTTTTAAAAAAAAAAAAAAGTCTCCTTGTGCACAGTCAGCATCAACAGCCACCTCCTGGCTGACAGGCCTCAAGAGAACAGTCTCCAATGGTCCCACACTAGGTAATATTAGTACTGTACTACCCTTCATTCCCTCCCAGTTTTCTGTTGCAATTTATAATGCACACAATGATTTAAAGTAGGGATCTTTCCAGGAAAGTGTTTCTTCTTCTACCCAGGACCTCTCATATGCCTCTCTTTAGAGCTTATGTTGTTCTGTTCCCAGTTCTGGCAAAACGACCACAAGTCTGAAAGCACAAACCATAAGTCTGTGGTGGTTGTTTCAGCTGTGGAGAATTGTGAAGACTGTTTAGCTGAAGGAAAACTTATTTTACTCCACACTTTTATTTATTGTTATGCTTCAGTACATACATGAAAAAGCCCACTTGAGACAAACCTCAGTGTTCCCCAGAAATGATTCCAGCATGTCAGCATAATACTTGTAGTTGCAGAACAGACTCTTAAAGCCTACTACTGGAAAAATATGGGGACTGCTCCTGTTGTATTTTGATTCAAAATGTAGAAGAATGGCTATTAATCCAAAGAAGGGTTACTCCCATTCAGCCATAACATCATATGCTGCACTCATGTATCCACCCACTCATGTAGGTCTCATGTCTTGAAAATAACAGAAGTTAGACAGGGGATAACTTAATAGGTGACTTGATCCATCCTCCTGTGTGGACAGAATTGTTCCCTAAAAAGAAAAGGAGTACTTGTGGCACCTTAGAGACTAACCAATTTATTTATTATTTATTTATTTATTATTATTAGTCTCTAAGGTGCCACAAGTACTCCTTTTCTTTTTGCGAATACAGACTAACACGGCTGTTACTCTGAGAATTGTTCCCTGTAGCACATAATCTACTACTTTTGTCGAGTCCAGTTTTGAGCATCTCAAGCAAGGCAGTATTCTAATATTTGCATATTACAAATGCCAAACAAACATTTGGAGTTTAAATGCTATTTACAGAAAGCTCACATACAGGTTAAAGCTTGAACCAGCGCACACAACAAGACAAAGTCAGCAGAGACTTCCTTTCAATAGAACATTGACGACATTCACAGCATCTTCGCAAACCATACTAACCTTCAGGGCTGCATGAAGGAATGAGGGATCCTGAATTCCTGTGATTTCTCCCAAGCGGTTTAAGAGCATTTGGAAATTCTGTGGTACAAAGGACAAAGAAAGCTCATGTAAGGAGATGAATGAGAAAGATACCAAGCTTCTGCCGTGCTTGTCAGGGGCTCACTTATGATTTTAACTAACACAAGACCGAACACTCTGAGATAATGACACTGTCAGACTTCAATCTGAATATGTTAGAATTCTTCCAATTGGCTTACAGACTAACATTAATTTTTGTTTGTATTTAAAAGAGAATGTTAAAAGGCATATCTGAGAAGAAATGGTAAAAATGCCAATAGCTACACTGGGGGAGAGGGGCAGGGCATCAGTGCCCCATGTAAATCAATCCTCTCAAAGAGAGGCAGCATGTGCATTACCACATATAAGGAGCCCAGGGAATTTGTGTGGGTTTGATGGAGGGCTATTTTAAGCCTAGTTGCACATGCCATTTGTGTGTGTCACTTCTCACTTACAATAAGGTGCCAGAGATATACAGCACAGTGGGCCTGGAGAATCCTCTTCCCCTCTTCCCACAAGAAGCTCTGAATTTTTGGTTAGCTAGCTGCTTGTTGGTTGAGTTACATCTCAAAAATTTTTCAATAGAGTGACTACAACCAACCCTTGACCATGAAAAACATTATTTTAGGTTTCAAGTTCTCTCTTTTCTCTCTAACATCAGGAGTAAATTATATCAGAAAAATAAAAAATTCATATCTGTGACCCTATACAGGGCTCCTCAGCGCTTTATTCCACATTTCCCTTATTTACTGTGTCTGAGGTTGCTATGGGGGATAACAGGGCAGTCCGGGCTGTGGAGTTGTCAATATGGGGGTGATCTGCAGTTTCACAGGTCTTTTTCACCGAGTCTGGGTGGTGCAGCATGTCTACTTTTTCAGAGCCTGGCCAAGACAGGGGCTGGAATGATAATGAGGTGGCTGAAGCTCAAACTGGATAAGATGAAGGGGATTCTCGCTGATTGTGGAAGCAGCTCAAGAGCATGGTGGGGACAGTATATGCTCTTCTTATTGGGGGAGATAGTTGCAAATTTAATTGACAAAGAGTGGCTGACAGAAGCTCAAGGAGCAGTCAAGGGACCAGAAGTCACAGATGGCTTTGGTGGCCAGAAATCTTTTTTTCCAACCTCCACTTGGTCTAACAGGTGTGATAGATTCTCTCTATTGAGAGAGCAATATCCTTGTCAGAGCAATCCAGGCCTTTCCAACCTCCGCATTGAATTATTATGAAAGGCAGATGGGAATGCCCTTGACCACGACAGCTTATGCAAAATGTGGAAGATAACCTGAGGGAGTTCATGGCACCAGTTTTCTACAGATCACACTGTGATCCTATTCGCTTCAGAATGAGTCAAACAATTTTAGTCAGGAATGGTCAGCATTTGGTCTGTCAGATCTGAAAGCCTAGGGCTCCAACAACAGCATGGTGAAAGATGCTTTTCAGCCTTACAGGTAGACAAAAGCATTCATCTACTGCACAGAGGTAACTCCAAAGTCCATATGGATCACCGGACAAAGAATTTGTGGTCAATGGAGTAAGATAAAAGGGTTATATTTTATCAGTAAATGTCAAACTTGAACTTCATCACAATCACATAAACTGACAAAAAACATTTCCATAGATAATTATTGAAATTTACAGATAGAAAGAGTAAGAAAAATGCTGCTTGAGAATTTATTAGAGTTTGATCTATGGATATTTACTTTGTATATTTTGACATACAATGTTGACAATATGTTTTTTAATGGCTATAAATCTTTAACTTTTGACTCTCAATATTTACTGTCATTAAATAATTATTGTCTGGTGCCCCATAATCTCCTGCACATGAAAATCTGAACAGATAACAATGAAAAAATGTTTTAAAATAATCAATATTAACCATCAAAATGATAAAAAAAAAATAAAAACTGAATTCTGCCAAGCCTAATGATAATCACCCACTGCACATCTGAAAACTAATAAATGCTTCATACAGACCTAGTTACTTTGTATTAACTGCCAGTTCTGGCATAAACACTGAATCAAAGGATTGTCCTTTTGTAGCAGTGGTCATCAGCTTTACTGTCTAAGCATCCCAGTGCTATGAATAACTTTAGAGACAGCAGTGAGCTAGAGAGGTCAATTGTCCATAAAGAGTTAGAGCTCTTGATTATTCTAGTCCATGACAATTCTTCCTCCACAAGAAACATTTCAGCAACCTTCTAAAGCTAGCATTTCGTTTCAACTGGAATTAGAGAGCATGAGATACAGCTTTGCAATGCAGCAATCACGAGTGTAGGAAAAACATCAGCACTCAGAAAGAAATACCCACCATCACTTCTGACATACTTGATGTTAATGAGGCTCTTTAGAAGCCCACCCTCAGTCCTATCCAGAATTTTAATCTCACCAATTTGTACAATTCTTTGATCCTAAATCTATTGCTCTGCAATTCCACTGTAAGATCCTTCCCATAGTCTGATAAGACTAACAGTAACTCTACATATTCAGATCTAATTTGGGTCATGTTTTCCTATGGGAATTAAGCAAGTCACCTTTGTTTCCAACCATCCATCAAAAGTACAAACAGCAGTCATTCAATTCCTGTTATTTCACTTAGAAACACTGTAAAACAAACAGCAACATCAACCTACACTGGGCTTTACAGAAAAGCGTGAACCACAGTGCTTGCCCCGAAGAGCTCGCATTCTTTATCCTTTTCATAATCTACAATATATAAAAAGCCAAAAATAAAAAATAAAAAATTCTTGAGAAAGTATTGAGTAAAAACCAACTTACTGCCCCACCCAAAAGATAAACACTTTGGTTAATTCTTGGATAAAAACTCTCCTCACTCCCAAAGCTAATCCTGTGAGAAAAGAAACAGGAAATTCTTAGGACGAGCAGGCAGTACAATGGGAAATTTCATGCTGATGAAATGCCAACATTCTGAGGATCGGAGCTGCAGTTCTTTCACAAAGGCAAACCCATTATATCATGTTGCTAATTTTGCTGCAACACCAAGTTGTATTCCTGTTGCTTAACTCCCCTTTGAGCTGCAGGGCATATTTTTTTTTTGGTCTGGAGGAAAACATAAAAAACTTAACTTTTACCTACATCTAACCCACGTTAATAAAAAATGCACAATAACTAAACTCAAGCCAGGACAAGACATGTTGTGTACTCGAGGAGGAACAGTCTTACTGTGAAAAGAGGGACTAAGCAACTAGAGTCAACAGGCAACTCTCTGTCGTAAGTGGTATCCCGAAGGCTTCTGGTGCAATTTTATCCAACCTTTAGTTAAAGACTATTTTCTACTCGCTAATCAGTTTGTGTTGGTCCTCTGAGTGCTCAACTAATGCATGTTTTATTGCACTAGCATTTTAGTCACAAGACTAGGGTTTAGCAACTGAAGGTTTCCTCTGTACAACATATTAAGAGGGTTTGTATTCATGGCGAACGAGCATTGGCAAGTGCCAACACACTTGCACTGGCATGTTTTAAGTGTCATATTTATTATATGGTTTAAAAATCCCCACTCTGTTCTGACTTGTCTTTGTGTTGTGCCACCTCGGAAACTGGACATTAGTAACTGAAACAATTATAATATACAGCAGCACCACAAACATGCCTGGCACATTACAAGAAAGGGAGTCCCCTGCCCAGAAGAACTTACAATATATGTTAAGACTATGCAACAGAATAGGATGATAAACAAGGGGCTGACAGAGGGGAAGATGATGGTGTGGTCAACTAAGGGAGTGATGAGAGTCCGAGATTTATTACATTACAATGACTATGGAATATAAACTACCTGAAGTAATATGGGATTTAAAGCAGGAAAGGATAGAGGCAGGATAGACAGGTTCCAGAAAGGGACTGCAGAAATAGCAGTCAACATGAAGGACAACACAGTGGCCTGTATGGAAGCAGCACACAAAATAGGTGACCTTTACCCCCTGCATTTTAACTTCACATTTATCATGCTTGAAAAATAGATACCAAGAAGATTAAAAACCTACAAATGAACAACAACAACAACTGCAGTATTTGTACAGTAAAACCTTTTGCAATGAATGAAAATAGTTGGCCATTGCTTTAATGGCCATATGCAGACTCCCAGTCTTGCACAATTTTGACATTAGGACTGCATAAATACTGCACAATTAGAAACACAAACAAAATCAATCGCCTGTTCCGACAGAGTTCTCCAGTGCAGAACCCACAAGAGCTTTGAAATACATGACGACTTTGGAGCGAAGTGGAGAGCAAAGGAACAGCCAAATTATCTCAAGAACATAGGTTCCTTGAACATCTTGGATTGGGCTCAATTCCAATGAATGCACCTTAGGCAAGTCCCTGACCTTTCAAACTTAAATGAGATTGAAAGTGAATCTATTCATGTTCTCTTCATGTTACACGTCTATGGACATACAACTTGCATCCTTCAGCATAGTTTTAATTGGTGCCTCTAAAGGCAAGTAATACAACCTACATTCAGAAAGACTTCAGAAGATGTCTTTGTACATGGCACAGAAGTTAAAGGTGGCTGTTTTAATAATGGCAAGAGGTAAAATGAATTACTGGGGGATTTTAAAGGCAGAAATGGTGTCCACAGACTTCGTAGCTTCCAAGGCCATAAGGGACCATTATGATCATCTACATAACACAGGCCAGAGAACTTCCCCAAAATAATTCCTAGAGCAGCTTTTAGAAAAATATCCAATCTTAATTTAAAAACTGTCAGTGATGGAGAATCCACCACAGCCCTTGGTAAATTGTTCCAATGGTAAATTACTCTCACCATTAAAAATGTACACTTTATTTCCAGTCTGAATTTGTCTAGCTTCAACTTGCATCATGTTTTGGATGGATTATCCATCCATTGGATCATATTATACCTTTCTCTGTGAGACTGAGAAGCAAATTATTAAATATTTGTTCCCCCTGGAAATACTTCCCCTAGTGTATTCCCAAACATTTTTCCCAGTTGGGCAGTGAGATAGAGTGATAGATAGTTTTTCAGAAAGTTATTTCTTGCAAATTATTTTATCCCTATGTACTAATCCACCTAAAAAATTTAAAAGTGGAGTCCCAAGAAAATTCTAAGCCATTCCAACGATGTCTGGTGGTAGTTTGTTTGTTTTCTTTTGTTTCTGTTTGTTTAAATGTAACACTTCAGTCACTAATGAAACAAGACACAATTCATGCTGTTAACAGCAGAGGTATACTTTAGAATCCAGATAGATAAATATTCACTGGGGTTAGCCTCCTTCATGGAGACAGAAATTCATACTTCCATAGCTATTCTTTTCAATGGCCTGCATGAATCAAGGGGGGGGGGGGGAGTTTCAGTGGGATTCCTAGTGTGCAGATGTTCTTTGTAGACATCTGCCCTGTTACTAACTGATCCCTCCAACAGCACCCTTGGCAGAAAGCACAAGGAATGAATGGGCATGGAGCTCAAACTCTTTTCTTCACTTGAGACCTGTCCCTCCAAGTCAGTGTTGAGGCACATTGACAGTGTAAACATACTGAGATGAGGGAGGCTCGCATTGTCACTGCTTGTCCCGTACACCTTCCATAGAATAATTCAGTCTTCAGCACTGTCAACCAGCAACCTTACACTAAACTTACCTTCCCCCAGGATACGTTTACTGCTCCCACTTAAGGATTCAAGCATGGGTCTCCGTTCACCACAGGCCTGATCCAAAGCCCACTGAAGGCAAAAGAAAAACTCCCACTGACAGAAGCTGGAAACACCCTGTCATTATGATATTTCGGGGTGCAATCCAAACCAGTGAGGGGCTGTCACTCCTGCCCTGCAACATGGGGTGCCTCACAATGCTTTGCTGCTTTAGCTCCCAACCTGGGCTCCTCAGAAACAGCATGCAGGTCACATCCTGAGTGTCTATCTGTGTGTAGCCTCAGCCTTGGTCCAGCAACTCTGACCCAAACAGTCTGTCAGCAGACAACAAGCCACACTCCAGCTTCCAGCAATCTTGGCTACTACTTGCAGGGTGATCCCAACACAGCCCCTGTCCTGGATTTCTTCCCCCAAAAAACATGTGTTCTGCATTGTCCAGCCTTCTGCTGGTATATTAGGTCTGTTGCCCTCTAAGGGGATCAATATACCACAGTCTGCAACCTTAAATGAAGCTACCCAAAACAATTCACAATCCTGGATTCGTTTTAATTAAAGAAGAAAAATAAAGTTTATTTAACTACAAGGAGATCGGTTTTAAGTGAGTATAAGTATAAAGCAAGAAAGTCAAAAATGGTTACAAGAGAAAAAAATAAAATGCTTCCTAGTACTAAACTTAACAAGTTCAACTTGGTTCAAGATGAAGACCCTTATCACATGCCTCCAGCTACACTGCTGACCAAATTCTCAGGCCAGGATCTGCTCCCAAAGTCCAATGGTTGTTTCTTTTGTCTTTTGGGTGAAAAGGCAAGAGATGGATAGGGAAAGATAATTTGGGGTGTTTTTGCCCCTCACTTTACAGTTCAATCAACCTTTGAAAAGCATTTTCCTGAGGGTTACCCCTAAATAAAGTTCATTCCTGCTGTGGGGATGGAATCAAGAAACCTAGTGGTGAAAGAGGTTCCATAGAGTTGTTTGCTAAGATGCATATCTGTTTGTTCCTGCCCCCTTTCCTTGGCAAAGAATGACCATTTGATAAATGACTGCCCATCAGCTTTGATGACACCTGGCTAGAAGCATCAGCTTTGTCCTTTGTCTTTGAGGAACAGGTTTACCCACTCCCCAACCTTGTCTAGTAAACACACTTCAATCGTGATTTTAACTTATGTTCATAACTTTACATATAACGTTGCCACATATATTTCACCATGACATTACTGACCAGCAGGTTATTAGTTTTCAAATGATACCTTACAAGGTATACTGTGAACAAAGATTATTAGAACAGTGCGTAGGGTGTGAATACAGGGTGGACTTGGGTACAGTCACTCCCAAGCAAGATCTTCAACAGACACATGAAGCTCCATAGTCAAGGTGTTCTGAAAGCTGTGTCCATTCCGTCTCAGATGCACAGATGTGGTGAAGAAAATGAAGACATCACAAAAGATTTCAGTCCAACCAGTCGAGAGGAACATTCATGCTTAGGTTTAAGGCACTTCCATTAAAAAGCTGAAGAAAACTTTATTAATATCAGGTTTCAGAGTAGCAGCTGTGTTAGTCTATATTTGCAAAAAGAAATGCATCGTGCATCTGATGAAGTGAGCTGTAGCTCACGAAAGCTTATGCTCAAATAAATTGATTAGTCTCTAAGGTGCCACAAGTCCTCCTTTTCTTTTTATTAATATCTTTGATCTCTCAAATCTTAAAATTCTTCCCATTTGACACTAGCTAGCTAACATAAATTGCTTTAAAATCACGTACAATGTTAAGCCACAAATACATGGATGTTAGTGCAGCACAATGATGACAGAACATGACTCATGTTCCCATCTGTCCATACACAGCAAATCATCCCTGTATTATAGGAAACATCATCATTCCTCAAAGATGCTGCAAGTCTTCCAAAGAGATCTCTTGCCCTTCAAAAAATAAATTGATGGCATCATGAACGCCCAATAAAGTAAACAGGACAACAGGGCTAATTTTGTGATAAGCATGCATAGCAAAGAAGTTTGTAAAATGCACTGAACGGGTACGTACTGTGTACATGCCAAATATTATAGTAACTTTTTAATTTATTAACTTAAAAGACGACAAAGTAAAGCGCATCGGTTTGAACTTTCCTGGGTACGACTCTTTTTGGCCTGGAATACTTTTGACGGGCGATAACAGGACTAAAGGAAGGAATCAGCGGGGCCCGTTAGGACGAACCCCCGCCCTCCTGGGTCCCGCCACCCGGCGGCTCTGTGGGTGCGGTGGCGGACGCCGGGCGAGGGGAACGCCCATCTCCCCTGAAGGCCACACCTGGGGGGCAGCGCCCCGAGGCCCTCACCCCTGAGGTCACCCCGCGGCCTCCCCGGGGAGCGGGAAGGCGTCCAAGGCGGCGGAGGGCAGCGCCAGAGCCCGGCGGCAGCGGACCCTCCTGGCCAGGACCCCAGCCCGCCGCCCGGTCTCGGCGGCAGGTTTCTATCCCCGGGAGCGGGACCCAAACCAGAGCCTCGGGCCGGGCCTCTGCCCCCCAGGGCCCCGCATCCAAATCTCTGCCCGCAAGCGGCGGCGGCGGCGGCGGCGCGCGCTCCCCGGGGCGGCCCCCCCCCACAGGCCTATCAGCCCCCCCCAGGTGAGCAGGAGCCCATTGCTACCCCGCCTCCAGCCCGGAGGGGGGGGGCGCGCGCGCGCTGCGGGGTGACCCCGCGGGCCCTCACCGTGCCCTGGCTCTCGGCGCCGCCCGCCGCGGCCGCGGCCTGCAGCTCCGCCGTCATCCCGGGCCCCGCTCGGCCGCCGCCGCCGCCGCCGCCGCCGCCCGCGGGAAACGCTGCGCGCGCCCCCGCCGCCCGGGGCCGCGCCCGCCCGCTCGCTCCTCAACCCTGCCGAGCACCTTCCCCTCCCCCCCCGCCGGGGCTGGGCACGCAGCGCGCCCCCGCCGGGCACTGCCCCCGGGAGGCCCCGCCCTCCGCCGGGCACAGACCCCCCCCCCCACTCGTCAGTGGGCACAGACCCCCCCCCACACTCATCAATGGGTACAGCCCCCACCACCACCTGCTCAATGGACACAGACCCCCTCCCCCCACACTCATCAGTGGGCACAGACCCCCCCCCTGCTCAGTGGGCAAAGACCCCCCCCCACACACACTCATCAGTGGACACAGACACCCACCCCACCTGTTCAATGGACACAGACCCCCCCCCACACTCATCAATGGGTACAGCCCCCACCAGCACCTGCTTAGGGGGTACAGCCCCCCCACACACACACTCATCAGTGGGCACAGACACCCCCCCCACCTGCTCAGTGGGTACAGACCCCCCCACACACACTCATCAGTGGGCACAGACCCCCCCACCTGCTCAGTGGGTACAGCCTCCAGGAAGCTCCCTGAGGCGGGCACAGACCCAGTCCCTGTGTCGCCCCCTCACACACTGCCCCCTGCAAGCCAGCACCCGGCCGTGGCACCCGCACCAGGCTGGAGCCTGGGCACAGCAGGCTGAGGCTCTAGCCCGAGGCGAGGGGGCCACGTTCCCACACCCCCGCTCCAGCACCCCCAGCTTCCCACAGCCTCATACCGCCCTAGCACATCTGCCCCCCGCGTACTGAGCCCTGGCTATGTCACAGCCCTGCCTCGCCCCAGGCGTCGCTAGGCCACTCCGCCAGCTCCATCCCCTCCCGTGGTCTAGAGGAACGTATTACCACGAGAGGCCCTGCTCTCGTACTCCAGGCAGCCCACAGAAAGCTCAAAGCGCTGTAATCCCTATGAAAAGCAAACAAGCATCCATGAGGCCATACAGCTATCTATCGAGGGGAGTTAGTGGCCCACGTTTCCCACTGTCTGAGCACCTCACAGTCTTTAATGCAGTTTGGGGAGTGCTATTAGCCCCATTTTACACATCGGGAACTGAGGCACAGGGAGGCTAAGTACTTACTTACCAGTCATCTTACTTACAGGTCATCTGTGGCAGATCAGAGATTTAACCTCTCTGCTGATTATGTGGTGCAAAGTGTCCTTTCATCAGAAGCACCCCATCCTAAGCTAGTGCTCTAACCAGTGGCCCATCTTCCCCCCTTTCCTTAAACAGTATTCCCTTCCACAGCAACCCTCATAAAAGGATAGACCTGGCTACATGCTCTGAAAGTTAGCAGATTCTGTCTAGTTCAGACTGTCCAAACACCACTGCACTGTTAACATCACTGGGTCCCTTCAAACCATCACCTGAAAACCTCCTCACCTGTTTAAGCTGATTAACTATCATACTGGCTAGCCAAGCTCCAGTTCTTTAGATATTGCTGCTGGGCTACATATTCATTTTGAGCATTGTAAACCTGAGCCCTCGTTTCTAAGATTGTAAGCTCTTGGGGATGGACCATCTTGTACAGCACCTAACACAGGGGGTCTTAGCCCATACACTGAGGCTCCCAGGTGCTACTGCAATCTAAAGAATAATAGGAGATGAGAATCAGCCCTGGAAACTCTCTGTGCTGGTTGGTGTTTTAGACTAGAGGACTACATGATATTTTATTTATGGGACTGCAACTGTTGCAATGCTGGGCTTTTGTCCTCTCATGTTCACAAAGAGTAATTCTCAAGGTTTTGGTGAAACATGCCTTATTCTGGTGCTGCCACCCCTTTCACTGGCAGGCACATTAAGTTTTGTAACAAAATATTTTGAAAGCATTTAGCCTTCCCAGAAATATTGTCATGAAATTGTTTTGAAAATATGTCAATGAAGACAGTGCTTGTTTGGCTGTAAACATGCCCCTGGCCCTGTGGGAAAACCAAACACTGCAGCTTGGGCTTAGCGTGGGAAAGCTAGAAAAGTGTCCAGAAAGCAACAGAAATGAAACTCAGTTGTTTTGTTCACTGGCCAAGCTCAGTGAAGTGAAAAACATGCCCACATCAATGGAGGAAATAAAGGAGAATGGTAAAATTCAGGCTGTTTTACTGATATGACGCAGGGAAGAAGTGTATTTGCAAAAAATATACATATGGGGCAAAATCCCCTGCTATGGGTGATGGCCTAAGTCACAAGAAGGGGTGCCACACTAGCTTTAATCCATTTGTGCATTCCTGATCTTGGACTGGATTTGTACCAGACCAAACCAGTGGTGTAAACTGGAGCAGCCAAGGGGGCAGTCTGGCATTTGAGGCTGGTCTAACCCACATTTCTCTGGCCACACCATCTGCAGCAGGAGGGATGTGGCAGAGAAGCTGTACACCAGAGGAAGATTCTCCCTCCCCCCCCATGGTGGTCAGCCTGTAGGCAGCATACTAACTTTAGATTCCCTCTCTGCTGATTATGTGGTGCAAAGTATCCTTTCATCAGGAAAAAAATCCAGGCTGTATTTTTTAATCTGCCAGCATTCTAGAGCAATGTACTTTTCATTAACAGCAGGGTAATTCATTAGAAAAGTTACATGAATGACCACTCTAACTTGAGGCTGCTACAGTTTACGCTCTTGTCTAACTTTTAAATTGATATGTGAATCAATCGGGTAGTGATCAATGGCTCCATGTCTAGTTGGCAGCCGGTGTCAAGTGGAGTGCCCCAGGGGTCGGTCCTGGGGCCGGTTTTGTTCAATATCTTCATAAATGATCTGGAGGATGGTGTGGATTGCACTCTCAGCAAATTTGCGGATGATACTAAACTGGGAGGAGTGGTAGATACTCTGGAGGGCAGGGATAGGATACAGAGGGACCTAGACAAATTGGAGGATTGGGCCAAAAGAAATCTGATGAGGTTCAATAAGGATAAGTGCAGGGTACTGCACTTAGGATGGAAGAACCCAATGCACAGCTACAGACTAGGGACCGAATGGCTAGGCAGCAGTTCTGCGGAAAAGGACCTAGGGGTGACAATGGACGAGAAGCTAGAAATGAGTCAGCAGTGTGCCCTTGTTGCCAAGAAGGCCAATGGCATTTTGGGATGTATAAGTAGGGGCATAGCGAGCAGATCGAGGGACGTGATCGTCCCCCTCTATTTGACATTGGTGAGGCCTCATCTGGAGTACTGTGTCCAGTTTTGGGCCCCACACTACAAGAAGGATGTGGATAAATTGGAGAGAGTCCAGCGAAAGGCAACAAAAATGATTAGGGGTCTGGAACACATGACTTATGAGGAGAAGCTGGGGGAACTGGGATTGTTTAGTCTGCAGAAGAGAAGAATGAGGGGGGATTTGATAGCTGCTTTCAACTACCTGAGAGGTGGTTCCAGAGAGGATGGTTCTAGACTATTCTCAGTGGTAGAAGAGGACAGGACAAGGAGTAATGGTCTCGAGTTGCAGTGGGGGAGGTTTAGGTTGGATATTAGGAAAAGCTTTCACTAGGAGGGTGGTGAAACACTGGAATGCGTTACCTAGGGAGGTGGTAGAATCTCCTTCCTTGGAGGTTTTTAAGGTCAGGCTTGACAGGGCCCTGGCTGGGATGATTTAATTGGGGATTGGTCCTGCTTTGAGCAGGGGGTTGGACTAGATGACCTCCTGAGGTCCCTTCCAACCCTGATATTCTATGATTCTATGAAGCGCATGCTGGTGAAGACATCAAATAAGTAACCCCAGAGAATGAAGTCCTCCATTTATCCACAGGGCAGGTACAGCACAAGCACCAGCAGGGCAAGCTCCTGCCATTCTGCACACTGCCCCTATGCCTCTCGCCTGAACTGCAGGAGGGGTCTCCTCAAGAGAGAGTGGAATTCATGCTGCAGGACTTCTCTGTTGGGATTGACAACAAGAGGGCCAGTTGTATTGGTGCTTGATATGGTTTGGACTGTTATCTAGTGGGGAATGGCCTGAGCCCAAGCTCTTTTCATACAGTCCACTAAGCAGCCACCACATGGCAAAATTTGTGGCCACTACTTGAGTCCAGCCTTATCCAGGGGGTGCAGTAATAGCATCTGGGCAAGGGGATATGCCCAACCCCTCCTTACCCTGAAGAACACATCAACCTAATTTCAGGAAGGGAAGTTAAAAAAAAAAACAATAGAAAATCCAATAGCACTCCCATAGTAAGAGGACACACATTTACAAAGAATTCTCTCGGTCATCTTCTCATGAATCATTGTTGATTTTCTGTTACAAAAAAAGAAGCATGTTTAACATAGTTGGTTTCCACAGTATGGGATCACCATCTCACCCGATCACATTTTTCCAGGGCTGATCATGACAATAACAGCCAAAAAAAGAGGGAAAAAAAGCCAAGTTTGTCACCAGGGCCACAAGGTGGCGCTCTGACTATGCGGATTTCATAAAACAAACAGTTTAGCTGGTACTTCCATTAAGGCCTGGTCTACGCTACAGCGCTCAGTCAACATAAGCTGCCTTACATCGACCTCATTAGGTCAGCGTACACCCTATGGCCTTGCTCCCACTGCTGTAAGTGCCTTACTACACCAACCTAATAACTCCACCTCCACAAGAGGTGTAAGTCTTATGTGGGAGTAGTTAAGACAATGCAATGTCCCTGTAGAAATTGCATTACTTAATTTATTGCCTGTCATCCTGGAGCAGTGAAACTGACAAGAAAGCCAGTTCCTGGCTTCCCAGTCAGGCTGCTGCCCAGTCTCCACTCCAAGTCAGGCTGCCACCTGGGCTCTCTACTCCCGCAGAGAGTCCTGCTGCACCCCAAGACCTTAGCTTCCCACTCCCAGCCGGGCTGCCACCTGGCCTTTCTGCTCCCCAGTGGGAGCACAGCAGTTGACTGGCCTTAGGCATGGATCTCCCCCTGCCAGGAACAGGGGGCAGCCACACCAAGCTTCTTGGCTCCCCACTGGGAGCTCGGCTGCCTCAGAGTTACGAA